ACATTCTGTAGATATGCCAAATAAGCAAATCTAAACACTTTCCATAAATAGCATTTGAGACTAGAATGAGACTAACACAAAGGGCATGATAGCGAGGGTGTTTGGGAAACATAGTAAGCTATCATCTAGTGAATATTGAGAGATCAATCTCAATATCACGGGGGTTCCCAACACTAGCAAATGCAAGTCAACATCATGAGTTTCTCATCACCATATCAAATATGCTTGACTAAATAACAACTTAGGATTTCCTTAGTGCCCTTCTGATCTAAATGCACATGTGATGACTAGTTTTTCAACTAGCTTAGGTAAAGACTAATAACAGGTCTAGCAATACCGACCTTCTGCCATTGTGGTAGTAAGGAAAGAGTGTTCGTAAAGACTAACTGACAGGTAACTTTCAATACCCGAAGTCATATTCGCAACAGGGGTGATCACTTGATTGCAGAGCCCTTTCATTATTCTATCATTCTGACCTGGTGCCTAACAACCATAAAAGATCTGTGCCCATTGCTTCTACCATACAATTGGAAAGGAAATGTCAACCTCTCAAAACTCAATCTTTTGATTGGGAGGAATATTTAAATGATTTCCAAAAACAACAAATCTTAAAAGCCTTCTTTGAAATTGAGCTAATTTTAAAAGTTGATCTCTATACAATATTCAAAGAAATACCTAGGCAAGAAACCCCTAAACCAAATATTGGTAGGGCTATAGGAGATTTCTCCCTAAAGGAGAATCTTGTTTATAAAATTGATCAATAGAGAAACTATGTTTTATATGTTTCTTATGATAAACCATTTAAGCAAATAAATTCAGCAGATGAGAATAATTTGCATATTGTCAAAATTGCTCAAGGATTGCAAAATGAATTTTGTAATCAAGGCATAAATTTACTAAAGGATTACAAAGACATTTTTGCCTATTCTTACACAGATTTAAAAAGCATCTTGCAATAACTTTATGTGCATCATAATGAAATACTCTTAAGAAATATGTTTAATGAATTACTAAAGTAAAGTCAAGGAGGAAATCGATAAACTTCTCTAAGCAGAATTCATTTATCCAATCCAGAGAGCTCAATATCTTTCACCACTTATAATTGTGTCTAAAAGAGATAGCAATTTACAAGTTTGTGTGAATTACAAAAATCTAGATAATACAATAAAAAAGAATATGTTCCATATTCCTTTCACAAATGAAATTTTGGATTCAAGAGCAAATTATGAGATGTATTCATTTTTAAATGGATTTTTTGGCTATAACCAAGTGGAAATAGCACCTAAAGATCAATATAAAATGGTTTTTATAAGTTTATGGGGAACTTATGCTTATTGCAAAATGCCCTTTGGCCTATGCAATGTTTCTTTCACATTTCAAAGAGTTGTTACGAACACTTTTAAAGAATATCTCATTTATTTTATGAGAGTTTTCATGGATGATTTTAGTGTCTTTAGCTCCAAAATATAACATTTAATTTACTTATAAAAATGTTTTCAAAATTAGAGAGAATATGGCATTTCTCTTAATCCAAAGAAGTGTACTTTCTTTGTAAATTTTGACATACTTTTAGGTTATATTATATGTAAGGAAAACATCCTTATAGATAAAGAAAAAACTCAAATGATGGAGACAATATTTCCATCATATAATTTTAAAAGTATTTATTGCTTTCTAGGAAAAATTGGCTATCATAAGCAATTTATAAAAAATTATACAAAGATTGCTAAGCCACTTATTTATCTTTTAAAGAAAGATATTTAATTCATATGAAATAAAAATTGTCAAAAAATATTTTTAAGGCTTAAATAATGCCTTAAAGAAGCACTTATACTTATTAAGCTAGATTGGACAAAAGAGTTTTACCTACAAGTGGATATTTTTTATATTGCCACAGATGCAATATTATCCCAAATACAAAGTGATCAAAATGATCATCCTATCTACTATGCAAGCAGACACTTAAATCCTATTAAGCATAACTATACAATAATTGAAAAAGAGGTGTTAACACCTTACAAAAATTTAGGCATTATCTGTTAGCAACAAAATTAATTATCTTTCCTAACTATAAAGCTCATTTATATCTCATCAACAAGTTGTGCATATCTGTTGACTAACTAAATGGTTTCTACTATTACAAGAATATAATTTTAAAATAGTGTATAGATTTGGAAAATTTTATGAACAGGTCAATTGCCTAAGTTGCATTACTATAGAAGAGTCATTTAATACTAAAGAAGACGAACTTCCAAATATTCATTTATTTACAATCTTTGGGCCTACCATTTAGTTGGAAGCTATATAAATCTATTTTTCTATAGGCATCATTTCACCTCACTATAACACGCTAGAGAAAAAGAAGTTATTTGTCTTGAGAACATGACATTACTTTATCATGAAAGAGCATCTATATAAATCAAGTATCGATGGAACACTAAGGAAATGTGTTAATAAGCAAGAAGAAAGAAATGAAATCTTAAAAGAAGTTTATTCAGGCTCATCAGAAGGCCATTTTACAAATAAAATCACTGCTAGAAAAGTCTTACAAGAAGTGCTTTAATTTCCTATACTTTGGAAAGATATAGCAATTTTCTGCAAAATTGTGACATTTGCCAAATGCATAAACTACCGTCTAAGAAGTAAATCCATGAACTAAATGTTATATATCAATATAAAGCATTTTATAAATGGGGATTGGATTTTGTAGGACTTATAGTGATAAGTAGTAAGAGAAACAAATATATTTTAGTCGCCACTAATTATGTGACTAAATAGACAGAAGTTATGCCTATAAAATAGACCTTAACTGTTAACATTGTTAAATTCTTTTATGAAAATATCATTGTAAGATTTAGTTTGCTTAAGAAGATTATCACAAACAAAGGCATCCATTTATTATACAAAAATTTATCTTTAAACACAAAAACTCTATACCATATTACCCACAAAGGAATGGCCAAGCTAAATTTACTAATAAAATGCTTTAAAATATTTTTAAAAAGATTATAAAAGACTATAAAAAAGATTGGGATGAAAAAATCTTAAATGTTTTGCAAGTTTATAAGACTATATATAAAGTATCCACATACATGACACCATTTTGTCTACCTATAGCTAAAAAGGTTTAACACTTATGGAATTTATAATTCCCTCTTTGCATATTACAATTAAAAATAGCTTAGATGAAAAAGAAACTCTTAAGAAAAGATTTGCCAAAATAGGAAACTTAAATAAAATTAAGCTTAAAGCAATCTAAACCCTACATGCAATTCAAAAAGCCAGAAGGCTAAATATAATACACAATTGAAAATCTCTTGCAAGCTTAAGCCACAAAATAAGGTCCTTTGGTATCAAAGCAAAATAAATGTATTTAGAAATAAATTTGAGAGGAAATGAAGTGGGGGGTTGAAATTAGTAAGAATGATTTCACTTTCCCATTCTTGGTGGAAAGATATGTAGCTTGCATTGCCCTAAATCATCATTGCTCTATTTTGACAAGTTTAAATTGCAAGATGCTGTCGTGGAACTTGTTAGAGTGTGTTTGATCAATGCAATGACTACAACATGTCAAAAATGAAAAGGACAAGCATGTTGTTGTGACTACAAAACATTCAACCGACTGTTATGCCAAAATGGGAAGAGGTATCTGCTGTTGGTGTAGATACTTTACACAATAATGGGCAATGTCTTTGGGATCGTTTAAAACTTCAAATATAATTTAATAGATGGTGTTTTAGGTGAAACTAAAAAGTTAAAGAAAAGGAATATTAAAAGTAAAAAGAGTAGACATTAAGATCTTATTTAGTTTTCTCCACCTTTAACTAGAAATTAATCACAGGGACGCTATTAGACTTTGCTCCAACCTTTATGAGTTAATAGTTATTATCACATTTACTTTAATGAGTTTCTTTATTTAACCATGCATTTTGCATAATGCTTCAGTAGCTTAGATCTAAACAATTCATAGCCGTCGGATTTAATCTGAGACGCTGTAGAAATATATCTGAAGGCTAGTGTTTAGGGTAAGTCTTGATGGGGCTGGGTTTCGCTGTTGGCGGCGGCGCTGGGAGGAGGCGGCGTGGCAGGAGGCGTTATTTTTTTCTCAAACCATCAAAATGCACACTGGTGGGGTGCCCATTCTCAACGTGGCTACTCAGTATTCGTTTTGGGCTGTCGCTACTGTTTTGCACAGTACGTTGAGGCGGCCAAAGCGAGAGGAAGTCGGGGAATCGAAGCCCCCGGCTGCCCCACACTTAGATGTAGGATTTTCGATTGTGTGAAACTACTAACAAGCAGGATCGAAGACCAGCTACCCAGCCCTCTTTTGGGGATTTCCTCTTTGAGGAGAACCCCTCCAAAACAAAAAACGAAGAAGCATTCCTTTCGTTTTTTTTGGTCTTCGAAACAGTGTCTGTCTTGTTGCTTGACAAGGATTAGGGTTCACGGGCGCCTCCCCTCTCGCCAGCACCTGATCCGGTCGCTGTTTCTCAGAATGTTTCGCTTGAGCTGAGCCCCAGCTGAAATCAAGTTCGACTGCAGAGCTAACTGCTGTTAAATTGTAAGCAAGTCTTCTTTATTATAACTGGCGAAAAAAAAGTTTGCTTCTTAGTTTTGAGATTTGCGGGGCCAAGATCTCCCATGGCTGCTAGATTTCATATCTTCCTCCAAATCTTCAGCTGTCCCATCCAACTTCTCCCATCCCATCCATCTAAAATCCTCTCAGTAACTGAATCCTGAGATTGATAGAGTATTTTCATGCGCAGTCGATCGGCGCCATTTCTTGTCCAGTGAGCGCTCTCGCTTGAGATCTTGCAATGGAGAGCTCTGGCGGAGCTCCGGCGGAGCTTGTCACTTTTGTCTTTCTGGGCAGAGCTTTGCAGGAGTTGAAAGAACGTTATATATGATCTGCAGCCAACTTTGATGTGATAAGTGAGAAAATTAATAGTAAACACTAGTTTGAGTTTACAAGTCATAGGAATCGTTTTGTAGGGCTTATATGAACGGATGAAATCACAACTTTTAGATTGAGGCACCAGAAATCTGGAAACTAGCAACAACAAACATTCCAGTTTTGATCTATAATCAAAATATATTTATATTTTTTTTCGTTGAATAAAAATCCTTGTTTTCATCGACAGAAGTCTGCCGCAATCTGGAGCAGAAGTTGATGCAACTCTTGAGGAGCCGAGAAGAAAGGAGAATGGTCCGACTCTATGCTGTAGACCTTGTCCGGCAAGCTCTTGGTCACAGCAATGTCCTGCTCTCTGGGGCTAAACGACCTGTCCTTCTCCGTCTTTACGTACACCCTTGGCACGGATCCATAGCCTCTCTTAGAAGTGCTAAAGTTTACCTTGGACACCGCCGCGATTGGTGAAGGCCTCAAGAGAATCGACGCGAGCGCAACGTCCTGAAAGTAAAGCTCAGTAAACAAAGAAAGAAACCATAGCTATCGGGCTATAAGTGGCAAGCGGTACTCGAGAGAGAAGGGATAAAAGGCAATGTATAAAGAAGTAAGTACCTCTGCTGGTGAGAGATGATAAAACGCCTCACGGACAAAATCCTTCCGGACCATGACAGTCGTCGGTCCGTTTTCGACTCCATTTGCGAATGTAAAGTGCATCTTGTCGGGGAAAGACTCTGTTGCTCGCACCTTGAAACAGCAAGGACCACAGCAATTGCATTAAAACTTGGGGGTGAAAAACAACGAAGAAAGAAAGAGCAGCTCGCTTACCAAATTGATTTCGGCCTCCTGCGTTTGTAGTCCCACTGGAAACATGGCAGCGGCGATGTATACCGACACCGCAACCTTCTCCGGGAACTGTTCCGAGGCGTGGACCACGCTCACCCCTCCCAAGCTGTGGCCGACGAGCACAACCTGTAGCATCAAACGAAAGAGAGCGTCAGAAACTGTTCCAGGGAATTTTTCTCGCGGAGAACAAGAGACTGAGAGAGCGGCCGTCACTGTCCCTCGCGTTTGTACTTCTCAATCATTTGCCACTCACCTTGTCTTGCACTTTGCTGAGGAAATCAATCAAAGGTTGAGTGTACTCGGCGAAGGAGGTGACAGTCTCGGCGTCCCGGGTGTGCGTGCCGCAGCTCGAGAGGTCCAAGGCCGTGACTTTGTGGCCCGAGGCCTGGAGCAAGTTGACGATCTTGTACCAGCACCAGGCCCCGTGACTACCCCCATGAACGAGGACGAAGTGGCATGGCTTTGTCATTGCTGTAAGCTATACGAGCAGCAACTTAGCTCCCTGGAAACCGGCGGTGAAGAGAGAATTGAAAGCTCTTGTTCGTGCTGGCAGGACCAGCCACTGCTCTGCTTCCTGCTGCCACTCCAATTCCCAGGACACCTCAGGACGCCTCTCAAAGCCGGAGCATAATAAAGGAGAACAGCGCGGACTTGTCTTTCACATCCCACAGGCCGATCGGTGGAAAATCCCAAGGAGAGTTAAAGTTGAGGCTCTCTCCCTCGCTCCCTTGGGACCGTGTGCTGCCTGTTGGTGCCGGGAGGAATTGATAGCTAGAACCCGAGACGAGGAGGATCCGAAAACCAAAGCTTGCTTTTGCGTGCGTGACCGACGAGTGCGAAACGAGTGAAAGGCCCAAAGAAACCACTTGGAGTTGTCGTCGCCACACCTTTCCCTTCACATGCCGAACACCAACTCCCACCAGTGTCACCGAATATTTTTAGATATCCACCTTGATGAGAGCCTCTTCTCAAAACACCGAGGAACAAGGAAGCTCGAGCGTTGCCTCTGTGCGTTCCCTGTCCTGCCTTTTCTTCCCTCCCTATTTATCTGGCCCCCATCCCACGCGAATGCGCAGAAACTCCAACTTTCGAGGCCGAAAGAGAGGAATCCAACTTCCGAAAAAACAAGCGGACCGGCGGCCACCACCTCTTCACCTTCCGGTTTCCTTCTTCCTGTTGTGCCTTCCGACTCCTTCCCTGTTGTCGTCCCCTTGCTCAAACTTCTAGTGCCGGCGAGGAGAGAGGCTTCGTCGCACACGTCCAAGCAGCAACAGCACCCCCGGCGCTATTCATTTTTGGTGCCTTTCAAGCTCATTGCCGGCAGCCAGCCCAACAGCAGTGCGAGCATCAACTTCCATGCACCTATGTCGCTTGGTCCCACGCTGAGAGGGAGAGAGAAAATATCACAGGGAGCCCCAAAAGGAGACAGAGGAGCCCCACATTTGAATAGAGCGACCAGAGATCTTCCCCCTACTGCCTCGTTTTCCTGGTGGAGAAAACTGTCCAGCCCCTTCTTGCCTCTTCCAACTTCTATACTATCTATCCGCCAATATATATAGATCCGTCCTCTCGTTGGTCAGCTGCGAGCAACAGTAGCAGCAGCAGCAGTAGCTTGTGACAGTCGTATGCCCCCCCGCTCTGAAGTGAAAGATTTCCAGCTTCGCGAGCTGTTTCCCGCTGAGCTGCTGCTGCTTCTGACTTCCGGTGATCAGGCCACTGGAACAAGTCTGTCACACAAATAACGCGTATTAGAAAACTGCCACCCCTTGAAAACTATAATTTGGAGAGGGATAGAAAAAAGAGTGAGAGCAGCAAACAAATCTTCTTTTATGGTATCTTACCTTTGCTTTGCTGCCCTCTCATTCATGTCATGCCATGCCGCCCCACATGTTTACCGCTCGTCACCTTTGTTTCTTCGTATTATTGGGGACTCATTCCGCACCGCAATCGCCTTTGCCTCCTCTGTGGGCCACCTCCTCCTCGCTGCCTGATGTTTGCCAGTGTTTCTAGCTGACGAGTCTAGATCACAAGGTCAAATCCATAAACGCTGCAGCGCAAATATCAGTCCAGCGTTTTAAGAAAAAATGGAAATATCGTAGAATACCTGACTAGAAGAATGAGCAGATTTGGAGCATACGGTCATCTTGCAGGGCGGAAAGCTGCGAGTGATAGCGCTAGTCTGGTCGTACGGACAGACGATCCTGAACGTACAGGAGAGCCAATCTTACTTCTTTTTCTTTTTTTTCTTCCAAAAAAGAAGTGCTTGCTTTCCCCGAATCCTTGCCGATGACAGTCGGTGGCTCCCCACGTCCCGTCTGCAACATGTGCTACTCCCCCCCGATACGCATCGGCTGCAAAACACGAACTTGAATATTTAGAGGTAACATGTCAAGTTTTACGAAAGCATAAACAAAAGACTTGCCTTGGCGCTGTTTCACGATGAAAACTTTCTCGAAAACCATGCGTGGGGGTCTTGCAGGGTTCAAAGCTCGCAGCTTCACGTACTTCTTTGCTCGCTCTCTTGTTCTCATTATACCATGTCACGTTGTCGGCTCAAATGGAAGCCCGCCTTGTCGCCTTTCGCGTCGAAATCTCTTATCTTTCTCCGCCGAGGCGATGGCTGCTGACCACTGAGCGCATCGTGTCTCTGTCTACAGCGCAAGTCTTCAAGTTTTTTTAATGCATTTGACCTTTCCAACGTATCACTCAGCTTTGCGCGCAGCTGTCTCCTCCACACCATTTCTTTTATGCTCCTGCTGAACTTGCAAGCAAACAACCGGAATTACTTAACGTTGCCCAAGCAGATTTCGTGATTACCAGCAGCGAGATTTGATTCAACAGCACGTGCTTAGCTGTCCACGCTTGATCCGAGAGAGCCGTGCATGGATCGTTCCTTCCGTGGTATACTCTGCATCAGATCAGTAGCCACTTGAGACGAGTTCAACCGAAAGAATACACCAAACTGGAAAACAACAATAAACAGCAGACCTGGATCCGAAGTTGACGGCGTGTTTTCCAAGTCTTGGAAGGTTTGCGCTGTGACAGCGAGCACATGCACTACAGGACAAGCGTCGGAAACGAGCACTGTTGCAGGATGGATCACTTTGCGGCAGGCAAATCGACGCCTTGAAAACGAGAAAACGACACGAGCGAGTTGAGCGAGTTGGGAGTCAAAGGCAGAAAGGGATAAAACATTTCCTTCCAGAAATCTATAAGACTTTCCAAGTACGCATAATTCCAAAACCCCTGAAACAAAGCTTACGCGAGTGTGTACCAGCCATTCCTACAGAAACAAGCAGCGTTAGTGCCTGTTTACCAATAATAAAACTAAGTAGCTTACCATCCCTGCGGTAACACGAGGTACTTCTAGAGGGAGATAGACCGCTGAAGCAAACCGTGCATCAACGCCGGAATAAGCCGGAGTTTTGCAGCAGTTTACCATAATCCGAAATGACAGGCGACTTCTTTACTAGGTCCCAGACTCGAGAAGCATTTCTCAGCCAGTCTCGCTCGTTCAGTGGTTTCGGAAATGATCGTCGCGGCATGGACAAAATCTATCGAATTAAATGTTAGAGACAGGAAAACAGTCACGGGCCATTACCTGATCTCGAAGTTGTCGCAACATCAGCGAGGAACTTTTGAACTTCTTTGAACTCTCGTCCTGTGCTCGAGGGAGCACAAAAACATTCGTAGTTTCCATTCTAAGCGCGTTGTCAGTATTTTCCGTGGCTTCAGTTTGAGGAAGGCCATTCTTTCTGAAACTTGACTTGAAATACTCAGAAAGAGCAGCCTTGAATTTTTCAATGCTGTTAAAGTCAAGATCACTCTCCCGCAATCTACAAAAAACAAATAGACCAAGTACATCACACTGATAATAATAAAAATATATATACTTGGTATGTACGAAGATTGTGTCAGCAAAGAACTCAGAGTTAGTTTCTTGCGGAATGTCCTCGGTTGAGGTTGATAATTGTCCTCCAGAACCTACAGTGGATGGATCAGGAATACCCTGTCTCAGCATTTCAATCTGTCACGAGTATTGCAGTAAGATATCAAGGTGCACTCCAATCAAATACAATTCACCGTTTGCAGCATCTTCCAAAGAGTCGTATCGTTTTTTCCGTCCGTAACGAGTAGAACCACATGACAAACCGCCGTTAAAAACACGCCTAGCTGCAGTAACCACAACTAGCTTCAGAACATCGAGAGAAACACTATGTAATACCTGCAGTCCCATCAACTCGTAAGCAAGTTCTCCGGATATAGATTCTCCGCTAAGTAGTTGGAGACTGGAAGAGCCATCAGGGAGCGTTAGATCCATCAGTACGCTAGAACTATATATTGGCTGGAAAACCAAGTTATAAAAACGAACGCCATTTCCTTGCAACAATAGAACTAAATGGCAACGAACCTGTGTGTCGAGAAGAATGAGCCTTTCTGATGAAACTCTAAGTTCCATACCAGTAGAGCAATGTCTTGCTTGTGCTCGTGTCTCCTCTGTTTGAACTGGAAACGGTGGAAGCACCCCTGCGAAATACAAAGAATGTAGGAAAATGATATCCATATGACAAAATGTGAAATCGATGTACCTGACGCTACCGAGTCGAATCCATAGAGCTCATTCAAAATGGTCGATTTTCCTACTCCAGGAAGTCCCAGAACTCCAACGACAGTAAAATCGGTGTTATCGGACATCAACTACATATTGCGTAGCGTCAAATCTGTCTAGCATTTGCGGAGTTCTCCGCAAGAGATGATTACTTACAGGGAGGAGACGATCGGCCGAAAATTCCCAAGCATCCGTGATGAGATTGAGCGATCCCTGATACAATCTCGACCTGGCGGCGCTCTCCTCGTCGCGCATTAGCTTCACAACGCCGGAGGGAACGCCGCTGGCGCCAGCGCCACCGCCAGAGGGATGCGCCGCCGGCTTTGCCAGAAGAATCTTTGGCCATGCTCCTCCTCCAGGCGGCCCGCTGCTGCCCATTCAAACCAAGCCCTCACATAAACCCTAAAATGTTGGGAGAGTGACGTGGCCAATAACGATACGGCCACGTGGACAACACGCAAGTAAACGTGGTAAGCCACGTGGAAGCTGGGAAATTGTTACACGTCATCCATGATTTTACACAAATTTGCTCTGCTCCGAGCCGAGCTTGAGCGATCGAGGAGAAACGAAAGAGAAAGAAATTTCTAGAAGCCAGATTCTTGGATCGTCGCGAGCTTGGGCCTCCATGATACGCTCCGCGAGATTAATCTCATCTGAAGAGCCATTTGGAGCTCGGGATTGTCGTCCTCAATGGCCGCCGCGGCAGCGAATTTCTTCTCTTGATCCCCTCCGTGTTCTTGTTTTTGGAGCTCGTTGCGGAGGATTTGCGCGACCATGTCCGCCGAGACTGTCACCTGCGTGATCGATCCTTTTTGCCTCAACCGGAACGCGTGGAGCAGCGCGTTCTTGCGCGGATTGCTGCTGGAGCTCTTGGACAAGGAATTATCGGAGGAGCACCGCTGGAGGGATCGTAGTGGCGATTTGCAGTTGAATCCGGCCTTGGAGCGGAGGTAGTAGATCTCGCCGCTCTCCAGATGCGTGTCCGCAGTGAGTGGCTTGTCGTGATCGAAGCTCCGGGCCTCGCCGCCGCTGGCACATTCATGCTGATCATCCAATGCGGCAGGATTACTCACGTGACACACGAAGTGGAGCGGATGATCCAGCATGAGCTCTGCCACTGTCACGGGGGACGTGATGTCCTGGATCGTCCCGTCGGTGAGAACCAGCCTTGCGAAAGAACACGGCTTTCCGCTGAGCGCCGATGTGGAGACTCTGGCCGGCGCTCCACACACCAAGTAATTTCCCATTCCCGAGCAAGAATCGCCGAAGGATCAGAGATTTCGAGGAGAAACCGTCGCACTACCGATGAAATCGATCGATCGACTCGATCCACTGGAAAACTGTGAGAAATCCCCGAGTCAAGATGGGACTGGCCTAATCTAGCGCTGCGCGGGCGCCGTCTGGATTGGATCCCTAGCCTGTGTCGCCAAGAATCTTTATCCAGGAGAGAACTCCCTCCCAAGAGCCCTAAAATATAAAAGGGAGAACTTTACTCGTGTTCGTCGTTTTTTTTTTTTTGACAGTGTCAGGAGTACACACGCGTATGCGTGTTGGTTTGAAGGAGCCGGGTGGACGTTACGGCGGAATCGCGTGCATCCTCGCCGTCCATCATCAACGGCCACGCTGCCCACGCGGATTCCGGAAAAACGCTACGCTTTCTTGCGCCACGGCGATCGCTTTCGTTGAATGCAAGGGTGGATTTTATGGTTGGTCGAAAGATGGCGATCTCTTTTTTATGGTTTTGTTGTTTGCGACTCATGCACTACTTGAGGCACGCGAGGTTTTTCTCCACATAAAGAAAAGCTCCACTCTTTATGGCATGGAAGAGCTTTGCGTACATACGAGTATAATACGAGAACTCAAACGCGTACTTGGAAAAGTCGTCCAAGTAATTACGTCAGGAAGTAGATTCGCCATTTTTTTGGAGTAGAATTGATTGGATCGCTAGCTGCAAGCAATAGCCAAGAGGAAGTTATCAAACAATGTCACGATCTTTCAAAGAGAGAGAACTTTCAATGAATGGATCGAAGTATCAAAACCAGTGTGATGAGATCACGAAGTTTGGTGATCGGTGATGTTCGCGCATTTTTCTTTGCGAGACAGCAACTTTCCATCTGAGATCGCGATTCCTTCTTTTACTTTTTCGTTGCTTTTCTCGACTGCTACGATCATTCAGCTGCGTTAGAACAGTTGCACAACGTTGCACGTACCAAACACTTGATGCTTCTTGTTGGCTGGGCGATTCTCGCGGCGTTGAAATCGTTCACCCCGTACCAGACATGAATGAAGCGTCACTGCCTTCCAAGAGTAAACTCGACGAGATTGTAAGAGACAAAAGCCACTACACTAAGAAAAAACAAAGGCGCTAACTAAACAATGCACAGGCACAGCACATAACTGATGTGTGAGCGAGCGAGAAGAGTCATGTGCTACCATTCAAACCGAAATAAAAGTTGCAAGCTGGAAGTCCAGTTCACGAAAATCGATGACAAAAGTAAAGAGGACGATCTGGTACCTATGTAGTGTTTGAACATTCCTGTTTGTTGGATTGCTTTTGGCGAGAGATTTTTCCTTCACTTTCTTCAGCCTGCACGAAAAAAAGAAAAGCCTGCTTAGAAATGTTGAAGAACACTATGGAAAGAGCCAGCCAATGCACATAAATATCTTTGCGGCGGAAAGAAAAGTTGGACAGCTTACCTGGCGCCGGAGCTTCAAGCTTTGCGAAGAAAAGCCACAGTGCTAACCCGACTTCCCTCCACGCCAGCGAAGCGAAATGTTGGGTAGCTACGAATGTGATCCATGTATTCAAACTTGAAATCGTCTGCAGCGTTTGTTGCCTCGTTGACTAGCTCGTCTTTAGTCTTGTTACAGGATGTGACAACCTGGTTTCCAACAACAGAGAAGTTCTTAGTACCACCAAAAAGAATAAATCTCGACTTGCCAGAATACCACCCGGAGCTACCAGCTGAGAAATGGACTTCCAGTACAAGAGCCTTCAAAAAAGAGAACGAAAACATCAAACTCGAAGGTCCAATAACTTTTTCTTTGTCTTTTTTCGTTCAAACCTCCGAGATTGTCCTTCTGGATGAAGTCCTATAGCATCGAGCGTCCCTTTGTCCGTAACGAGTCTGTATTGTTCTTTGAGATTGGTTTCAAGTAAGTCGTCCACCTGCATACAAAGTGCTGTAAAAAACTCTAGTCATGAAATGTCCATACCAGGAACTTAATGTCTGCAAGGCCATTTCGCTGGGCGATTGCTATTGCCAGTTCTATGGCCCCTTCGCTATAATCAATTCCCGTTAAATCTGTAAAGCTGGAGCAATCAAATCAGGAACGCGCTAAAAGACATAACCATTTCTCACCCGAGCCTATAAAATGCATGAAGGAACACACCATTTCCAGTTCCAACATCCAGAACGCTCCAGCCTGTTAAATCAGAAGGTGCGGGCAAAGGACCATCAGCGGGATTGAATGGAGTGCCGGTGGACGTGGCAGCACAAAGCCTCGCGGTCCATCTTGCGACTGTGTCCGTGACAGACTCTCCAAACCTGAAATAGATGTATATGACACCAGAATAACGAGGCAAAACACAGTGGAACTCACCATATCTCGCCTCTATCTCCATGAGCGTAGAAATTGTTGAGCTCGTCAGCGTACGTGCTGTTCCAATGGCTTTGCAATCCTAGAACAGATTGAAGGCTTTCCTCTTCGTCCTTGCATGAGCTGCCAGTTATAAAAAGAGAGAAAAATGTTAAAGAATCCCACAGTCAAAGCAACTAGAATTCAATGCCCGTTGGAACTCAAGTCAGTATGAGAAAAGACCATTTCAGGCAACGCTCCCGTCAAAAACAAAAAAAAAAAAAAAAAAAAAAGAAACGTTCGCAAATACGAGAAGAAAAACCATGAGGTCGCATTGCCGCAAAGAAAAAGTGCTCACAAGGGAAACTAAAGAATGCAATGGCACCAAAGAAGCAAACTCTAGGAAAGGAAATAAGTGATAGAACAGGCAAATGGAAAAGTAAACCAGTAAAAGCAATGCGTGATGTTTAGAATAATTCGATGCTCTACACAACAGGCAAGGACACACAGCAACCCAATGCTGGAAGCGCGTATTGATCGATCGAGCCATACCTGTAAGAATCTTGCGCTCCCGTTGTCTCGATGACCGACTCGGCCTGGCGAACAAGCTCGTCCGCGTCGAGGACGCTGCCATATTCGCTCCTCACGGACCAGGAATCGGCAGCGACGGAGGAGAGATCGTCATCGGAGGCCTGGAAAGCTCCGTCGGGTAGCTCCATTTGAAGAACCCTAAAATCCGGGGTTTAAGCGAGAGAGATATTATGGCGCAATGCGGCTTCCTCTTCGAGGCGTGCGTGGATTCGCTGTTCTCTGCGATTCAAGCCGAGAAAGGTATGGTAATCTCTCCTCTCGATCACTCGGCTGGCGCTAGGCCAATGCTGGATCATGATCATGAATGGGGATCGTTTCATTTCTTAGGTGGAGCTGGACGATTGGAGCTTTGCGCTGCTCTATCGCAAGGGGGAATTACTCCCAGCTATGGAAGTAAAATTGTTCTAAGAATTATTTCTTCTTCTTGTGTTCTAATTGTCGATCCATGGAAACAGTGATCAAAGCTGTTCTCGATCGTGTTCGCATTCCTGTCCATGTCTTGATACGACCTCGAGCTGGGGATTTTTGCTACACTGAGGATGAAATAGACGTAAGTCCAGCGTACAGACTTTGGAACTTTAATTCCTTTTTGTGTTCTTCGTGCACAGGTGATCTGCGAAGACATTCATATGGCTGGAAACTTGAAAGTTCATGGCATTGCTTTCGGTGCGCTCACTCCCGATGGTGATATTGATTTGCAAGTGGTATTGTGATAGTTACTTCGTGTTTATCGAAACTTCTTTGGTTTTTGTAGATGACGCGGATCATCAGCCTTTGCAAAAGATACGAACTCTCCATGACATTTCACCGTGCGTTTGATGCGACGAGAAACGCTGAGAAGTCTCTCCAGGTAACTTCATGCTTTGTAGTTAAGTGGCTAACGTTTTTCTTTAACACTTGAAAGACATTGCTGGAGCTCGGTGTGCCGAGAGTTCTTACATCCGGACAAAGAGAAACCGTGACGGAAGGATTGCCTCTATTGAAAGTGCTCGTAGAAAATTCCATGCAGCGGATTTCTATCATGCCTGGAGGTTTTCTCTCTCCTGTTCTGTTTTTCTTCTTTCTTCGCATATTAAACTTGTGTCCTGCAAGCAGGAGGTATCACCGAAGACAATGCAGCACGCATCGTCAGCGCACTTGACGTCGCTGAGCTCCACGGTTCTGCTCGTTCTGCTTCTGACTTTGGCCAGAGTTTTGTAAACGAAACAATCACACTCGCAATGCTTGGGACCGCCCCTCTCATGGTAACAGACTGTGAGAAAGTGACAGCCATTGTTCAGGCATGTAAAGAAGCAAGGCACATACCTCCCGCCTAAGAAAGGTTCGTAGCTTGTAGCATTTTGTTTCCATCGTTTGTTTTATTTGCTTGTTTTGCTTCTTATAGATACAGGAATGATCTTCACACTGAAGGAAGGGGCACGTAGTAACGCGAGTGATATGGTTTTAGTTTTAGTGCATAATCAATTATCTGCGTGTGCCTCTGATACAGGAACGTATTCAATCAAATATTGTTCTTTAGTTACCGCCTCCTTGATTGGATCTACTTCAAGTGGGAGATTTTGACTTGCGATTCCGAATCTTTTAAGGTAGGCCTTAACTCTAAACATAGTTCTTTGTCTGAGTTTCAAGATTTCTTGCCAGAATTCTCGCAACATTGGATCCAGGTAAAAGAATTGAGTGGAAGTCTTGAAGCACCATGACAACCTCCGCTGTAAAGAACAAAAGCTCTAGAGATTCAGCTCCGGTTTCTAGTTTCCAGGACAAACTCGCGCAGCTACATACCTACAGGGCTGCGAGCAAAAGCTCTCCGAGTCCATTTTCCATTTCGAAGGCGAAGAGCTCTCCAGAGTCTCCTCAAAGATCCTCTCCAAAGGCCATCTCCTCGCCATCAAGAGGACTGCTTGCTGCTCTTTCAAGTAAAAACCGAGTAAGTTTTGTTCTTCTTCGTTTTTACCTTGACAAAAATGCTGTTGTTTCGATTGTTTTGAAGGTTGGCAAAGCAGAAAGCAAGATTTTGGTAACAATCACGATTCTCGGTTCTTCAGGGCCTTTGCGATCGATCGCGGACATTAACACCACAGTGGAACAGGTCGTAGAAACGGCGCTGCGTGCGTACGCGGCACAGGGGAGGCTTCCTGTTCTTGGAAGCAACGCAAAGCTCTTTGACCTCTATTGCAACGATGGGGAATTCACAGGCAAGTTTTTCATTTTCCTTTGTTGTTCTTTCTAGAGCTTCGGCTTTTTTATGCGAAGTGCTAAGTCTCCACTGTTTCTATTCCAGCGTTGAAACCAAGCCAAAGACTGGGAGCTTTGTCTTGCCGGCATTTTCTACTCCACAAGACGAATCAATGCGATCAGGACGAAAACTGCGAGTTAGAGGCCTGGAAGATGAGGTGTTGGTGTTCCTCGAAACATCACCTCCTTCGAATTTAATCCAGGTACTTGTGTTACATTCTTATAATCGTCGCTTCTCCCATTCTCGATGTTGATCCAGGCACTGGTATTGTAACTTACATTCTTATAAGTATCTCTTCTCACAGGGCCATTCTCCATTTTAATCCAGGTACCAAGGGACCATGAAAAAATCTTACATTTGTTAAAGCAATGCTATAGTTCTACAGTTTAAAACAATGCAGTGTTCTATGTTTAAGAGCTCTCTAGGGTTTTTCATTTAGGCGGGAAATTTGCTCCATTCGAACAAGGCAATGGCGGCGGTGCGGGCTTCATCGATCTCGATGGTTGATGCTGCTGTTTCGTCATCGATCTAAGGCGCTAGGCTCAGGTTTGGATCATAATGCCTGTGTCTTTGGATTGACAGTAGGGATTTTGAAAGAAATGCCACTCAATCCGAAGAACAGCACCGATTTTCTTCCCCAAAATGGAGGCTCAGCAGTATGTCTATCAAATCTGTGGAGTCAAGGTCGAGTTTCCATACAGGGCCTATGGATCGCAGCTCGCCTTTATGGGAAAGGTTATAACCACACTGGAGAGGGCTTTCCGGGATCCAGACGGCCACTGCAATGCGCTCTTGGAATCTCCTACCGGGTCTGGCAAGTCCTTGTCTTTGCTGTGCGCGGCCTTGGCGTGGCAGCAGCACCGAATGGTAGCAGCAGCTTCGATTGGTCCTGCTACGCAGTTTGGTGGTGGTTTTATTCCCGAGGGACCAGCTTCAGGTGCCGAGGATAAGCACCAAGCAAAGAAAAACAAGCCACCTACAATTTTTTTCGCAACGTGAGTAGATTTGACAGCGTTTTCTTTTCATTGAAATTTTTTTTCTAATGTTTTTCTTTTTTTCTTTTTTTGTTTATCTAGGAGGACACATTCGCAAATCTCTCAGATTGTGCACGAGCTGAAAAAGACGAACTATCGTGTTCCAATGGCTATATTGGTGAGCTCTAAAACAGAGTAGTATGTATGAGATTTTGCTAATGGCGGTGGACAGGCTGCAAGGAAACACTATTGCACAAATCAACACGTGTGCAAGAAGGCAAACTTGGACGATGAATGGTGAATTTTCTAGACGTCATCGTAGGACTTTTATTCTAAATCCGGGTTTTACTTCTTGACAGTAAAGTGCTTCTGAAGGATCCACACAAAGCCTGCCCTCAGTTTAAGTAAGATTAATTCTCCTTCGACTAAAATATCATAACATGGCTCTGCTACAGAAATGTGAATAAATTGAAGCATCACCCGGCGCTACGCAAAGGAGGATGCCATGAAACTCATGACATTGAAGATCTGGTGACCTTGGCTCGTTCAGTTAGAGGTTTTTGTTTGTTGAACGTTTAGAGCTTGTCAACGAGCCTTTGATTTCAGGATGCGCATACTTCACTTCGAGAATAATGGCTGCAGATGCCCAGATTGTCTTCTGTCCATACAGTTACATTCTTAGTCCAATATTTCGAAAAGCGATGGACGTTGATATTCGGGGAGCTATTATCATTTTTGACGAGGCTCAGTATGTCTTTTGTCCTCCTGCTTTATAAACTAATTAATGCTTTTCAGTAACATCGAAGACATGTCACGGGAAGCCGGTAGTGTTGACTTGGATACAAGCATTCTAGAAGGTTTGAATATCAATGTCGATATTGTTCTTTCTAATTTGTAGCTTCTTCTGAAGAACTCCGAAATGAACTCGAGGAACTAAGCTCGTCCGAAGACTCACATGATCTGTACCGTCCTTTGTTTGATATGGTCCAGGTAACATGCGGTTTCTCCTTTTTCATTCGTTTTTAGCTTCTAGTTTCGCTTTGACATAGGAACTTCTCATTTGGATACGGCAGCAGGATGAGAATCTTCAGAGGAAGGAAGTCGACCACTATTATTCGAAGTATGGAAATTTTGTTCTTAAGGCTTTCCTTTACTTTTGTTCAGCTGGACAGGTCCGAAGGGACTAGAACAACTCCAAGCTGCTGGGATTTCATCTGAATCGTTTTCTATACAGTTAGACTGTGCTGTGAAGGTAAAAGAGCATTTTGTGCTTAACAAAGTCTACTTTAACATGAGTCAAGGCTGCGGGAGCTGCATCCGATCCAGATCCAGAAAAGCCTCATCTGAGTGGACGTTGTGCAAGTGCAATGGAAGGTATGTACAAACCTACAATCAGTCATGATTTTAGTGAAATGTCCAGGTCTCTTTTGTGCGCTGAAGTTCATGCTGTCAAAACCGGAATACATTCACGACTATCAGATAGTGGTGCAGAGGGTCTTAAACAAAGTCGAAGGTGATCTTTTTAACTGTTTCTCTTCCCATGCAATACAACTATGTCTGTTGTAGGTACTGACGAATGGCTACACAAACTGAGCTTCTGGTGCCTGAATCCAGGGGTTGTTTTTAACGAGATTGCAACAATTTGCAAGTCTGTCGTACTTACGTCTGGGTAAAGAAGTCGAAAACCAAGAATTCACATGATTCTTATCCTTTTTCCAGGACTTTGTCCCCAATGGGTTCGTTTGCTTCGGAACTTGGCACTTCCTTCGAAATGGTTATGGAAGCGCCGCATATCATAGACTTAAACTCACAGGTGCATGTTCCACTATTTTTTATACGTTATTAGATGTCTCGTCTTTTACGTGCAGCTGCTTGTGTCTGCTGTTTCCTTCGGTCCAGGAAATGTACCGCTCAATGCAAGCTACCAATATGCAAACACAGTCGCTTTTCAAGATGCCCTGGGAACTGCGTTGGAGCAAATATGCAATATAGTTCCGGATGGCGCCCTCGTGTTTTTTCCAAGCTATAAGCTTTTACAACGAGTCTGCAACAGATGGAAAACTACTGGTCAGTGGAAGAGAATTTTGGACATTAAAAGTGTTTTCGTTGGTAAGCCTATGCTCTCATTGGATCTTAAAAAATGCCTGTTATTTCAGAGCCGCAAGGAAGCACTGGGAAGTTTGAAGACATTTTGAAGGATTTTTACAAGGTTATCAAGGGAGAAAATGTAGAGCCTTCCAGACGGAAAAGAATCCTAACGCCGAAGAACTTCACTTCCGCAGGTGGTCAGACTGGAGCTGCCTTTCTCGCAGTCTGCAGGGGAAAGGTAAGGCTTTCAGTGTTTGTTTTGTCTAACCTCTAGCGACATCCAGGTATCTGAAGGAATAAACTTCTCGGATGAAAACGCGCGTATTGTTGTATCCTACAAACTCTGTTCTTGCATATTGTGACCTTAACCCAAGCTATAGGTGGTCGTTGGTATTCCTTTTCCAAATCTGTAAGTCTCTAATTCTCTCAACTCGTGGATTAAAATTACATACGCAGAAATGACGTCCAAGTCGCTATGAAAAAGAACTATAACGACAACCAGAAAACTCTTAAAAGTCTTCTAGGTGGTGATCAATGGTACTGTTATCAAGCATTTCGGGCTTTGAACCAGGCAGTCGGTTCGTTATTTATCTGGATTTTGAATTCTCTTTCTAATAGGAATGTCACAGGTCGTTGCATTAGACACCGTGGTGACTATGGTGCAATTGTGCTGTTAGGTGAGAAGTTCTATAAATTTTGCAGTCGAACCCATCCGCCCCCTGCAGATGAGCGGTTTAATAAGGCAAATTATACCGGTTATATGTCCAAGTGGTTAAGAAAGTCTATCATGAGACCGGCAAGTTTTCAGGAAGCTCTAAGGGATTTACAAGCCTTTTTCAGCAAGTTTGAGGTAGACTCATCGCTGTACGCTTCATTCAATTCTGTCTATGTTTAGTTTTTACAGAATACTGGCTCTACGAAGAAATGCTCTTCGGTGATCTCATCCATCACGACAACACCCTTGCCTGGAGGCGGCGTCAAATCCTGGTTCGTATATCTGCTAACTTCATTACGTGCACTCAGATCCTTTCCAGCTCTCTTTTGGAAGACCAATCCACAGATGGTTTTGTTCTTAAGACAAGGTGTAACTGAGCATCATTTTTATGTTACTGTGTTTTAAGCTGTTGTTTTCAGCTCCCTTGTGCGTGAACGACAACCTGAACTCGAGGATGTTATCAAGCTGTCCTCATGCTGCGGTCCATGGTTCGATTCAAAGTAATTGACACTTGTACAAGCGCCTTCTTTAACTTTGTATTTGCAGTGCTTATCCATCTGCAAATTTATCAACTCCCAGAATCACCAGTCTAAACAACGTGTCTCAGGTCCCGGAAACGGCTAATTTTTCATCACCTGTACAAGTGCCAGTTTTGACGGACAACCTTATGACCATGGCAACTCGTTTCGACACTTCAAAAGACGTCAAGAACCTCTGTTGCCGCAAATGTGGCCACCACTTAAGTGCCTATGACAACCCGAGAGCAACGTATCAATTGGAAACACTAGAGAAGAAGTATCTAGCATCACTCGCAATGACTGCAACGCCTCTGTTGCGAGTGATCATCATGGAGGCCCAGCATCTGCACAGCTACCTCAACGATAATCCCGGTGGACAAGCTTTTCGGGAGAGAAATGCGTGTTCTTCTGGGGTATGGATCGAAGAGGATGGTTGCGTGTTCAAGCCTATTGTATGTGGCTGGTGCACGGACTTGGACGTCTGTTTGGGCGCTCACATCTTGGCTGCAGATCCTGCAAATATGAAATACGCTGGAAAGGTACGCGAAAATTCATGAAGTCTTCCCTGGTCTTGATACTTATTACTGTATTTCAGGTCGTTTTGTTCTTGGATTCCATTGAAACTTCTGATTGCAGTCCAAAGCAAGTTGAGCAGACTCAGTTTTCAGTTGACACTCCTGTACTAAAGAGGCCACTCGTAACCTCATTGACTGCAACGGGAAAGGTAACATTGTGTTCAGATTTTGAAGCACTAAACAGGTAACATTCTTGTGCAGCGAAAGCTTCGGACGACAAGCTGACCAGATCAAGAGATTCCCTCATATTAGTTGTCTTATAGATTTTATGCATCAGGAATATGCGCAGCTTTTAGCGTGGACAACGAACTGGAGATGTCAATAAGAACGCAAATATCCTTGTCCATAAACAACCAAGCGCCGGTATGATTCACGATTTTCTTGATATTGATAAGCAAATATATGGTTTTCTTGGCAAGTTAAAACGTGTAAACGGTATCCTGAATGAGGTAAATCTCTATACAGTTTTTGTTTTTCTATCTCGCTGCCTTTTAATCACAGGCATGGACCAGCGAAAAAAATGCGCCGTCCTTTCCTCTAGCGAGCAGCTCTTTCCGGCTCCCTTGCTCCAAAACTGTCCCATCCCCAACCACGACAATCCTGTCCGCGTTTTTTATCGTTGACAACATGTGAGCCACCACAATGGTTGTCTTTCCCACCATAGCCCTCTCCAGGGCACGCTGAACCTCGCTCTCCGACTTGGAATCCAACGCACTCGTCGCCTCGTCTAGCAAAAGTATCCTCGGCCTCTTCAAAATTGCTCGAGCTATGGCTATTCTTTGCTTCTGCCCTCCCGAGAGCTGTGTTCCAATCTCTCCTACCGGTGTAGAGTATCCTTGCGGCAATGCACTACAGAATAGAGAGAGTCCACCGTCAACTTTGAGCTAAGGTACGTACGTAGAAAGAAAAAAAATTACCTGATGAATCCATGAGCATTAGCTGTTCGTGCTGCTTCCATGATCTCGCTCTCACTAGCGTTTTCTTTTCCGTACGCGATGTTCTCACCAATGCTTCGAGCAAACAATGTTGGTTCTTGACTGACAAGCCCGATTTGCTGCCTCAGGGATGCGAGCTGGAACTTTCTAATATCTCTCCCATCGATCTCGATGCTGCCAAGCTGAGGGTCGTAAAATCTCTCCACCAGGCTGATGATGGTCGACTTTCCGGATCCACTCCGCCCAGCAATGGCTACTGTTTGAGCAACTTCCACGGTGAGGCTAAAGTTCTTCAGCACGAAAACTTCCGGCCGTGACGGGTAAGCAAAAGAAACCTTGTCAAACTCTATGTGTCCTGTGATTTCTTGATTTTTCATCGAGCCTTGTTCCAGACTTTTTGAAGTTGGTTTCTCATCCAATATCTCGAAGACCAAGTCCGCTACCGTCTTTCCTTGGCTGATATCCGGGCTTAGCCAGAGAGTATCGGCCAGCGACCTTCCTGTGCTTATGAGAAGGTAAAATGTGAGAAGGAAGTCTTTGAAGCTTGTCTTGCCTTGAGCGATCAACCGTCCTCCATACCAAAGACAAAGAGCGTAAGACGAGAAGAGAGCAAAGAGTGCTATTCCAGAGCTAATCCCTGCTGCTTGTGACAGACGTACCACTCGCTTGGAGAGGCTCTCAAGTCGAGACTCCAATATGGTGACGATTCTCGAGTGGGAAGAAAATGCTGCCACAGTTTGATGACGGGTGACTCCCTCAAGGATCAGCTCACTAACTTCTTCCTGGACTTTGGCAGCTTTCCTTGCGAAGTCTTGGAGGTTGGTTACTCGAAAGTAGAAGCAAATGAGGATAACCGGTTGGATGGAAGTGATGACGATGGCAAGTTTCCACGAGACTACAAAGCTAGCCACAACACTCACGGAAATAGTTGATGCAGTTTGGACGAAGAGGGAGATCCTATCACTCACGACTGTTCTTACCTGCAAAGAAGAGGTGAGCATCAAAAAGTTTGGACAAAATTGACTGTAACAAAATTGACTGTAACTGACCATGCTTGCGCTTGACGCCAGGCGAGAAGTTAACGCTCCACTAGAATGCTGCTCTTGATCGAACCAACTTATATCAAGCTCGAGGATTTTGGCCATCATCTTCTCTCGGACTCGTTTAGTAAGCGCTGCTCCCATGGATCCAAAGCTGTAGTGCTGGAGGGTGTTGGAGGCAAAAGTAACGAGTGAGAGTGCTGCGAAGATCATAGCATCGTTTCTCACTCTGTGCCTGGTTTTGGCAGGGCTATCCGAATAAAATGACGAAATGACGTCGGCCCCAAGAGCAACAAAGATCGGATGAAGGAAGCCGATACTTACTGCTGCTGCAATTCCGAGTAGGCAGTATTTCCACTCCGGTTGGTTCATGAGGAGGAGACGAATGAAGTCATTCCTCTTCTTGCCCGATTGTTCAATCCGATCCTTCCTCGCTAACTTGGTTTGTATGACATCTTCGACTTTCTCTTCCTGCGTTTTCTTGCGTCTAAATTTTTCTGGCGACCCTTTTCTTGTAGATTGATCGCCTTCCACCTGCTGGAGCTGGAACATCTCTGCATAAGCTCCCTCATTTTTCAAATCCTGCTTGCTTCCATACTCCACCACCTTGCCAGCCTCCACCACCGCGACCAAGTCGGCACTTTCGATTGCTCGAAGTTTATGTGCTATCACTAGAGCTGTTCGAGCAGTGCAAGCTTCCTGGATTGCCCTTTGGACTGTCCTCTCGGACTCGTTGTCGAGAGCGCTGGTAGCTTCGTCCAGGAGAAGAATAGCCGGATTTCTCACCAGAGCTCTTGCTAGAGCTATACGCTGCTTCTGGCCTCCAGAGAGCTGCTCTCCTCGTATGCCAACCTGAGGAAGTAAGTTTTGTTAGTATCTGCATGTTCTATAAGCTGCGTTTTGACTTTCAGACCTGAGTCTCGTATCCTTCTGGGAAGCCGCAAATAAACGAGTGTGCGTCCGATTTCCTGGCGGCAGCAATTACTTCCTCCAAGGTTGCGTTCTCTTTTCCTAGAAAAATGTTCTCCTTGATTGTGGACGAGAAGAGAATAGGCTCTTGGCTCACTAATCCAATTTGCTCGCGATACCACTTCAATTGCAGGTTTTTGATGTTTACTCCATCCAGAAGAACTTTCCCGTTCGAAGGATCATAAAAACGTTCCAGCAAAGAGATAACCGTGGATTTTCCGCTCCCGCTCTTGCCAACTAAAGCCGTGGTTTTTCCTGCGAGGTGTAATATTGTTTATCTTAGATAATAATACGTGTTTTTGCTTTGACTCTTACCAGGAGCAATATGCAAACTGAAGTCATCCAAAACTGGGAGTTCCGATCGTGAGGGATACGAGAATATGACGTTTTGGAACTCCAGCTCTCCTTCAACACGATCGAGAACTCGGCCTTTCGAAGAATCGATATCGATTGTTGGTATTGTCTCAAGAACTTCAAAAATCCTGGAGAGCGCTGCCTGGCCATCTTTGATCTCTCGAAGATTCTGGAGTATACTGCCCAATGCCCTGCCAAAAGCCGCATCCAAAATGTAAGAAACTGTGTTTTTATGGCATAGACACTTACATGCTTCCCACGACAAATGCAGATCCTGCGAGGAGTATTTGAGCACCATTTGCTTGACCCTTGGCTACCAAACTTCCTCCGTACCAAGTCATTAAAGCCCACACGACATATCGTAGGCCATGGAATCCCAGCGTAAGTCCTTTGGCCAGTCCCTGCTTGCGATCGACTTTGATACTCTCTTCCAAGGCCCCGGAGTATAACTCCAATGTTTTCCGCTCGGCAACAAAGGAGTAGACCACCCGTATCGAAGAAATTGCCTGCTCGGCGATTTTTCCCGCAGTTGCGTAAGATGCCTGCCTTTGCTTGGCGTAGCTGGAGAGAGCTCCGCTGTATAGAAAACCCGGAAAGAGCAACACCAGCACAAAAGGCGAGACGATCAAAGCCAGCCTCCAAGCGAGTATCAAGGCCGTTATAACGCTTCCAACAAAAAGGGAGATGTTCTCGATGAAGTGGCCAAGCTGCGTAGTAAAAGCTATGAGATCATGCACACTCAAAAAAAGGTGAGTTTTTTGTTTTTCTTTCTTTTCTGCCAACTTACTTTCTCTCCGACAGCTTCCTGGACGTGAGCAATATCAGCGGAAACGTTTTCTATAACGTTTGCAGTAGAGATCTTGCAATCAAAGTAGCTGGCGTCCTGGCGTAGCACGCAATTCACATACTTGACTCGAAGCCTGCGCGCTTGCCTGTGGCCAGTATAGATCCAGCAGCTTACTTCTGGCAAGGCACGAAACAGCAATCAATTACGAGAGATGGAGATGGACAATGTCAGCTTTAAGTACAGTGCTCGGACCAAACTTTATCTTTTAATAGTGGGACGCGATTCGAGCGATATTTTGGTGCACTCAAATCGATCGACAAAGGAGGAAATGATCGAGACGTACCGAGATATGCTCCCAGTAGAGAGATGGCTGCCAAGTACACGCACCAAATTGCCTACATACCAAAACTTCGAGCATTTAGATCACTTGAGAAACTGGATCGGTCGAAGGAACTTCTTTTCTACCTGTTTGTTGGCGTTGGAGGTATGGTTTCCATAGTTGTTGTATACGTGACTCTGAATTGTGTACACGGCAGGGAGCGATAAACCATTGATCATCGAGCCTAGAGTACCGAAAATCATCGTTATGGAATCGTACTTATCACCTTCTTGGAAAAGCCTCTTGTAGGACGCAAACACCGTCATGAACGACTTCGACTTCATGAAATCGTCTCCTCAAGGTACTCAGGTGAAAAGAAATTCCTTTCTCTCTCTCTCTCTCTCTCTCTCTCTCTCTCTCTTCTTCGCTCTTTTCTTCTTGGGAGTCAAGCAAGAAACTGATGATGGGGTTGATGCTATTAGAGTGGAGAAAGGGAAAGAGCGCGCTCTACGGAGTTCTCTGAGAGGGTGTTTATATATTAAGTAAGACAACAGTGACTCCATGGCGGCTTTGTCTGAAGCATTTGATTGTGGCTTTGCTTGGCAGGCTTCCGTGAATCGAATATCTATGATGTTGTTCTCAAAGGACGAACTTCTGGGAAAATGCATCCCACTCACAGCGAGCTTTCTTCTTCTTCTCAAAGGCTTCGAGGTGAGCGAAGAAAACAGAAGTTCTACACTCGAGTTTTCTAGTTTCTTGGCTGCGCAGTGCTTGTAGGACTTTGGTGTCTCCATCGCAACGTTTGAACGATGTGCGTGGAATCAAGCAACAGTTTCTACGTGAGCGGTTCCGAGGTAAAGAGAACAAGAAAAAGAAGAGAGTTGATCACGTCATGACAGTCAAAAATTCCCCGCTCTTCCATCGTCATCCTCTTTTCCAGATAGCAAGCATATAGTGCATTGCTTTATGCGAGCAGCCGCATCAAAAGGACTCATGGCTCACACGATTCTCTCCATTTTCACGCTTTCCATTATGTCTCATTTTGTTCTTTTTTCACAGCGAACGACCGATCCTGTGCGTCTGCCCGTGCAAACTCGAAGAAATCACCGCAAGTAAAACAGGTGCTACATGTCTCTTTACTGTTAGAAACTCACACGAACGCTGTTCTTTTCTTTTGGCACAGGCTTGTGATGGGAACTTTTTCCACTTGGTACCAGGTTTTATAAAAATCACTCCACTGGAGGCCAGATTGGTGGGCTTCGATTCTTCGCTTTGGTGGGTTTTCGCTTTGTTGGTGGTGGTGCTGGTGGTGGCGCTGATGATGACCAGCAAAGCATCCACGAGCAGTGTTTCGTTTCTCCTTGGAATTTCCAAGAGGCGCTTTCCAGGTTTGCAATCAATTTCTACACAAGTTCTTTGTCAATCGTCAAAGTTGACTTCTATTATGCGATTTCTCCAATGGTTTTACATTTGGCACCATATTCCAGATTTGATGTCGAGGCTATCGAGTTCTCTGGGATCCTTTACGCAATCATTGTTCTTACACTTAGTAAGTTTTCTAGATTTCATTCATTTGGAGGTCTTTGTTCTTCCAGGATTTTCTATCGATTTCTATTCTTTGGAATTAAGCAATCGTTGCTCGTCTATTTCCAACATTTTCGAGAGTTTCTTTGTCAAAATAGCGCGCGAATGTTTGAATTCTAAAAGCCCTACTATTTAAGCCATTTTAGGGCTTCTTTAGGGTTCCTCAGCTATGGCGATACCCGGGCGCCGTGCGCTCAAGCAAGGCGCGCTCTCCTGGATCTCTCGCCGCCGCCTCGTTACTCTAGTTCTTGGAGCTGTGCTGCTCGCCTACATTCTTGTTTCGCTTCAAGATCGAGGATATCGGGCCGGATCTACGTCGTCTTCGTCGCGGTGGGCGGATTACACGCTTGAGGCCGCCGCTGCTGCAGTGGCGCGGGACGGCAGGATCGTCGTGTGCGCGGTGAGCTTCCCCTACCTTGCATTCCTCGTGAATTGGCTGATTAGCATCGCGAGCCACGGGCACCACGACAAGGTGTTGGTGATTGCCGAAGACTATGAGATGCTCAACTACGTGAACGAGTTCTGGCCTGGCCATGCGGTCCTTGTGCCACCGGCATTGCCACTCGCGACTGCTCAGAGATTTGGATCACAGGTGACATTTTGACATTTTGATTGCTCTTTGGTTCTGGCTTGCATTTTTTGTGGCTCTTTTGGTTTACTTGCTAGATTCGTCGAGTGTTTTATTGTTTTGTTTTTTTCAGAGATTTGGATCACAGGTAAAAGAGTTGTTTTGATTGCTCTGGCTTGAGTTTTTGGTGCTTTGATCTCATATTTGGCTAGCTGCTTTTTGCGTCTTCTTTTTTTTTGCTAGATTCGAGTTTTTTCTTTCCAGTTTTATTTTGTTTCAGAGATTTGGATCACAGGTGAAAAAGTTATTCGTTTGCTTGCTCTTTTGTTCTAGTGGTCCTTTGGTCTCTTGTTTGGCTAGGTACATTTTTGTGTCTTCTTCATGTTGCTAGATCCGTCGAGTTTTTTTTTTTTTTTTTTTTTGATCTTTCGTTATCTTCTTTTGAGCTAACGCGTTCTAATCACAGGGTTTCTTTAATTTCACTTCCCGCAGGCCACAACATCTGCTCAAACTTTTGGAACTTGGCTACTCTGTTCTTTACAACGACGTGGATATGGTCTGGATGAGCGATCCATTCCCGTTGTTTACTGGTGACCATGACATATATTTCACAGACGACATGACTGCGGTATCAATCTCCTCTTCTTCCTTAATTCTCTTTTGTCATTCTCAAACTAAGATTTTTTTTTGCATGGCTTTTTATACTCTGCCAGATCAAGCCTCTTGATCATTCTCACAGCCTTCCGCCTCCAGGAAAGAAAGGCAGAACCTACATCTGTAGCTGTATGATCTTCCTGCGGCCCACACCTGGAGCAAAGCTTGTTCTACAAAAATGGATTGAAGAGCTTCAACAGCAGCCCTGGTCTCCCAAGGCAAAGGCAAACGATCAGCCTGCCTTCAACTGGGCTTTGAACAAAACTTCCAACAAGGTAGCTTTCTTTTCGTGTGTGTGTTCTCACTTATCAATTTTTCTTGCTCTTTTTCTTTGTGTGTAGGTTGACATGTATCTCCTACCTCAGGCATCCTTCCCTTCCGGCGGACTATACTTCAAGAACGAAACCTGGCGAAGATTACCACAGAACCAGAACAAGCTCACGATTATTCACAACAATTACATCACTGGCTTTGACAAAAAGATCAAGCGATTTCACGACACCGGCCTCTGGCTCATCGACGACGCTCATGTCAACACCTTGCCCGACTTTAATCTCGTAAAACACTATCTCGACACGCAGCCACAACTATAGCAATCGCGTCTCCATCACAAGTTTCCCTCGAGCAGCTGTCCACCGGATATCGATCTTCTCCTTTTTATCTCCACTTTATTCTCTCTCTGGTGATATCACCTGAGCTCACACTTAGACATGCGGTGCTGGTTTATTTCCATCGTCCCGCCTTGTACAACCGCTCTCGTGGCGTTGGTTGTCTTCATCAATAGTTTCCAGCCACTAGTCGCGGACGGAGATAACTGTGACTTAACTCTACTTCACAAGTTCATTTGTTCACGAAGGTGGGCTTTTCTTTCTGTTCTCTCGCATCGTCTCTCACGTTTGTGCGCGTGCTTTTTCCAGGCGAGAAGATCGACCGTAGCTAGATCCCTTGTACTGGTTAGTTTCCTTTTGGCACTCCCTTTTTAGTTGTATATAAGTGTATCGCTGCCGAGAGCTAAATTTACTGGGACGAGTTTGTCCTTTTTTCTTTGTAGGTGGAAGCGATGAATCCTCCAGAGTCTAAAGCCCCTGGAAACGCCATAGCTTTGGACATGAGCGGCGTCGCCAGCGCTCCCAATCCCGGCGCTCCAGAGAACTCGTAAGTTTCTTCCTTGCTCTTTAGCTCTTCTCCACCGTCGGATCGCTGCAATCGCTCCGCGCCGTCGATCGCGTCCCGGGCTGAAAGCCGGTCTGGTGCTCGAATCCCGCGCTGGATATCCCACGAGTGTCTTGCTTGCTTCCGTGGCGTGTCCTGATTGGCTGTCTTAGATCTCCTAAGCCACTTTGCTAGAGCCCTAATTGGAGCTTCCATTTTGCGAGTGACAAGTTTGGTGGATTCGTGGCGCTTTGTTGTTCCAGGGCGAAGGATTTGAAGAGGAAGGGGGCGGCTATGGCGGTGTCGTGGGGGATTGGCCCAACGCCATTCATTCTCACTGTTCACATCCTCGGCGTCGCTGCGGCGATTCTGGTTTTGATCTGGAGCATCAGCTACAGGGGAGGTCTCAATTGGAATGCGGTCAATAAGAACCTCGTCTTCAATGTAAGCATCTCTTCTCCGATAAGTCGTCCTCGTTTCTCTTTGTTTCTTTTGGAATTGAGTGAGAGATGAGTGAGAAAGCATTGGGTTTTTTCGTTTTTTGAGCTTCCTGTCTTCTTGGCATTGATGAGGAATGATCCAGTGACTTGTTTGGATGGACTGAGTGTCGTAAAAATCCTCTTTTGGTAAGAGGTTTTGGTTCTTTCGATTGATGAACAGTTTTGGATTTGGAACTCACTTTCCACCTGCAGATACATCCGGTACTTATGGTCATTGGATTCATTTTCGTCTCCAGTGAGGGTACGCTTCTTTCTTTCCCGACAAAGCCAAAAAACTTAATACTTTTCCTGTTTTGTCGCAGCTATTCTAGTGTACAAGAGCGTTCCCGGCAGCAAAGTTTACAGGAAGGGCGTCCATCTGAGCTTGCAAGCCGTGGCTTTGGGCCTGGGGATCTTTGGCATTTGCGCGGCTTTCAAGTACCACAACGAGTCCAAAATCGACAACCTCTACAGCTTACACTCGTGGCTGGGCCTCGGAACCATCATCCTCTTCGCCATTCAGGTATACATATCTTTCGTTCTTCCTCGTTTTCTAGCTTCTCATTTGGATCTTTGCATGAAATCCTTGGCAGTGGATAGCAGGATTTGTAACTTTCTGGTATCCCGGAGCAGCCGCCAACACGCGACGATCCGTCCTCCCGTGGCACGTTTTTCTCGGCATTTTCATCTACGTTTTAGCCATCGCCAGTGCGCAGACTGGTGTTCTTGAGAAGGTGACTTTCCTGCAGACCTCCAAGGTCTTTGGCCACTACGACAACGAAGCTTACATCGCAAACTTCACTGCCCTCGCGGTGCTCTTGCTGGGCGTTTTCACCGTCTTGGGGGCTGTCATTCCCACGGCTTCAGCGGAAGAGGAGTACAGGGCTCTCGAGTGAAAAAGAATTACCGCCTTTTGTACAGAGATATATGTATAGCGAGAATGGATCATCTTTAAACAAAGATATAATTTTCGCGATTGGTGTGTCTGGAAATTACACCAAATTGTCTAGACCAAGAACATATCTTACGGCTTCATACCTTGTTATTGTTCGACTTTGCGTTGTTCTTCCACTCCAGCTCTGGTGAGGACCAAGATTCCCAGAATGATAAAGCACGCACCAAGAAACCACTGTCCCAAAGAGAAAAGCGTTGCGTGCTTTGCAAAATGTAACAAAATTTTTCAGCACCCACCTGAGCCGTGAGCTTTTCCCCAAACAAAAACCAGCCAGCCACTCCCGACAGGAGAAAGTTCGCCGCGAAGTTCACCACGGTGGCTTGCAACGAGGAGAGCATCACTAGACTCTGGGTGTAGCAGCTCCACATGAGAACATTACTTCCAACTGCTGCGGCATAGCACAAGAGCTTCACTTCGAACGAGATCTACACCGGATAAAGGACAAGAGCTTGTCAGGATCTCTAAAACCCTCCCTCGCGATTTCTCTTACCGATGGTGAAGCGAGCTTGGCCGCAATAGCAGCCCCGGCGGCGCAGCTCCCAGCCACCATCGCCCATATCCAGCCGCGCTTGGATCCTTGAGTTCCAAGCATTCTATAATAAACTCGTAACAAGAACAGAAAAATTGATTCATTCAGTACCTGATTCGCGATGGCCTCCGCTTTTCAACAAGAAGCTACACGAAGCACAGTTAGTGAACACACCAAAGCTACAGAATCGAGCTTACTTGGTGCCAGAGTTGCTGGTTCTCCTGGTATCAAACTTGTGATGTAAAGCCCATATTACATTGATAATTGTAAGAGATTACAACAAGGGGTGCGTTAAGCGCCAGTTTCGATGGGATGAAAACGATACATTCTCATACAGTACCTAAAAGCAAGAATTCAAGCAGAGAAACAAAAAATGAACAGATATAAGTACCAGTTTTTGATCATCCCCTCCAGTGCAAAAGAAATCATCGTCAGAAGATATAGAAACCTGTGAAGTGGAAGATAATATGTAAGCAAAAAAGAGGACGAACGGTTTTGTAAAGACTCGCCGTATTGACACATCTGGAATGACTTTGCAAATGACGGAGGCATGGTTCTCCCAGTGTAACATCCCAAAGAGCGACGCTACCATCTCCACTTGCAGTTACCAGGACAGGGGAGCTGTTAAACCAGCGAGCGTCATTTACTCCTTGGTCCCCAGCATCCACAAAGCTACACACACGAGAAGAGTTGAGAGGTCGCTCACTACCAACAAGTAAGAAAAAACCTCTTACCCCGCACGCTGACATGTGTTTTCTGCCGTAGGCATTGGCTTTCCATGGCTCAAACAGTGTAACGCCTTTGTAACCCGGGAGCCTGGGGTGGCTACCGCCAGTGGAGAGCTAACGCAGGGGTCACGGGGCTCCATTGGCATTAACCGTGTGTCCCAAACGATCGCTCTGTTTGCTGTGCAAGATGCCTGGATATATCTTCCACAGGAACTGTAAGAAACGGAAGTAACCTGGGAAACAAGTTAGATGACCTTGGCTTTGGCTGCAATGGACGGAGAAATACCTCACAACGGGGGCCAAGAGGTAGTCTAGAGATGGCACCACAGCTCCGGATATCAAATAAGCCGATTGTTCCATCGCCTGAGCCTGTTGAAAGGAATGCATCAGCAAAGGCTAGACATATATCTCTGAGTTAATTACCTGTCACCATAACTGTTCCTGCTGGATTAGTCTTTAGGCAAGTTATATACTGTCCCAAAAAAACACGAATCAGAAACTCTCAAGATTGGGAAGCAATATTGATTACCATGTCATTTGCTCGAAATCTACAACACTCAAGGAGCGCATCCACGTCCCAGATCTGAACAAGACCCGAGCCATTTTGCGACGAGTCACTTCCGCATATCAGTAGGTTGTTGTTACAAAACTCCAGAGCATCCATGGGAGGCAAATCTTCCCTGGAGACAAAAAAAAAAACCATTACACTTTCAGCATTTCTACTCGAATAAAAGTATAGTTAGCTCACGTACCTGTCCTGTGAGATTAACTCTGATACAAGCGTTCCTCTTACCACGTTCCACAAAAGCAGTTGCCGATCGCCTTGACCACCACTTGTTGCCACAAGGCCTGCAAACAACCAAAACAAGATCAGTAAAGCGAGATCCAAGAACATCACGAACAGCAAAACGTTACAGGATTGCGACGGATTAACAGCCATTGCAGATATTTTTTTCTTATGACCAGCCACGTTGTTTTCGTCAGAACCAGGCCCCAGAGTGTAAAGACACTCAGCAGTTGATGAATCCCATACCTGAATTTGAAAAACAATGTCAATATATACAAGACAAAACGTAGCAAGATACGACCTTCACAGTGCTTTCAGCACATGAAACAACTAGAGACCCCTGTGAGGCATACTCCACGGCTTGGACCTGAAATTGATGCACCAAAACAACAATTATAAATAAATAAACAAATAAAGACAAGAAAATATCACATCCATCGCAAAAGAAGAAGACCGAAAAGAGCCATAAGAATGGAAAAGAAAACCTGGCAATTGTGTCCACTCAATGCTTTAGATTTTCCAGTGATCAAGTTATAAATAAGCAGCTCGTTAGGTGCCTGCATTGCACATTAGCGAGGACCACAACCTTGGTAGAAAACAGCTTACAGCGTTGCAACCGCAAACAATCTGTGGACTTCCACAAGGATGGAACCTAACATCCAAAACCTTTTGAAGTCCCTCCTGCTGCAAGCAAACCAAGTTAAGAGAAAATGCATCTTAAAAAAAACTATGATCACGGACTTACAGCAGGTTGCGCAAGAGCCACGCTGGAAGAGTAGGCCGACCAAGTTGGCATCCACGAAGAGAAGTAACGCTGTCCAAGCTTCACGCCAGGCGCCTTGAATCGCCTCTCAAGAGACCACCAGCCTGCCGAAAGATCACGGGCCTGTTGATTAATCCATGAAGCTTTTACAGTTCCAACTTTCGCTACCTTGGAAAGCAGCGGTCCACTTCCGGCGGCGGGGACCGATGTCCCTAGATCCACACCCAGAATTCAAGCCTGCCTCACGATCCCAAACGAGCTTGAGCGTGCTGGATCCTTTGCAACTTTGCATGTCATACTCATCTGTTACACTAAACAGGACCATTTATTCAAAAAGGAGAGAAAAAAAAATTCGGGCATTGGTCATTCTAAGTACCTGTCGAGGCATGGCTACAAGCCCACACATTAACAGATGGTTCCACTGTGGTCTCGTTCGTCACGGGCGGGCCATTCGATTGCTCCGAGTCTGAGGAAGCACTTGCTCTCCGGGACCACGAAGTCCTGCTCTTTCGCCTCTTCGTAAGCTTAAGACTTGACGTTCGACGCCCGTCCAAGGATCCATTCCCTGCTCGCCGCTGCTCCCTAGCTTTCAAAATGAGATCCCGCAGCTTCACTTGTAACTGACAAAGCCTGCACGCAAAGTTGTCAGTACCAAGCCCATATAAACACTGCCACATACAGCTCGTATCTCCGTTTCACGACTTCTTTATCCATTGTCCACAGATGGTTGTCTTCGTCGTCATCAGCCGGGAACGCCAGGATTCCTGAAAGCACAAGGTTGTCAACCATTCAACATAGAAAAGATGAGCTCCCCACCAGTAGTGTCCGATACGGGTTTGGACCACTCCATGCGGCTAGTCCTGGCATGCTTCGTCGGTTTCTACAAGCACCCAAGTCAGGAACACGCAAGGAAAAAAAAAACAGAAAGCACCTTTGGTGTTTCTTCTGTGTAAGAAAGATCGGGATCTGTTCTTCCACGTTTTCCAGAGTTTTCCCTTCTCTCTTCTCGCTGTGATGCAAACCAAAGCCTTGTGAAGCAAAAGAAGAAAAAGGGAAACAAAAACCACTCACAGCTAGCTCTTGGCGTTGCTTCTTCTTCTTCTTCATCACAATATAGTAGCACTTCTGGATGTACTTGACGAGGTTGCGTCGCGACTGGCAAGACTCGAGCTCAAACTCCACGCGAGGATTCTGGTTTAACCACTCGGCAATCTCTTTTTGTCCCACGGGAGTGTCCTCGTCGAGCGATTCCAGCCAACCCCACACAGGCTTCCACTTATCACTCTGCTTGAAACGAGGCACTGGATTATCGCCCTGTGACTGCAAGCCATGGAGTGAGCTCCTTCCAACCTATCTTGGAAAAACAAACTCACCTCATCGCCCCGGATAATCTTGTGCTGGTTCTTGAGATTCTCATACACGACCTCGCGAGGAACGCTCAAGATATCTGCGCCTAAGATCTCGCCATTGCTCACCAGCCAGTCGTCGATCTCCTCCTCGCTCACATTCCGCCCCTTCGGCAGGCTCGCGAGCCATTCGTGAGCGTCGCTCCAATCTACCTCCATTGGCGCTTCGTCGCCGTCGGCTGGCACTGTCGCTGGCTCCACCGCGGCAGCCGGAGCTTCTTCTTCCTCCGCCATCGCTGGAGCTTCTTCTTCCGCCATAGCCTCAAAACCCTAAGCCGGCATATTCCCGCCCCGAGCGATGGAATCTTGTCACCACGGCCGTCCAGGCGATGCTATCTGGCAGGAATGGCATGCTACCGGCGAGCTCCGACGCTTCTCCAATCTGCCCCGATCGAGCAAGAACATCGAGAATGCACGAGTAGTGCTGCGCGGATGGCGTCAATCCATAATCCCCGGCGAAGCACGCGAAGATCTCCCGGCATTTCTTCACGGATCCGGTGTGGCTGCAGGAGCTGAGAATCCCCAAAAATGTGACCTCGTCGGGGAAGAACCCTAGCGCGCACAAGCCGTGGAAGAGCGCCACAGCCTCGGCGCCATGGCCGCGATGTGCAAACCCTGTGATCATCGAATTCCACGTCAAGATCCCTGGCGCCGGCGCTCGATCCAAGACCTTCCACGCCTGGCGGAGATCGCCGTTGTGGATGTAGGCCGCGATCATCGCATTCCACGCCACGGCATCCGGCCTGGCCATTCTCTCGAACAAAACCCTAGCCTCGCGCAAATGCCCAGCCGCGGCAAACGCTGTAAGTAGCGCGTTCCAGTTTAAAAAATCTCTATCGGGAAAGGTATCGAACACACACATCGCCTCCTTTAAGAACCCGTTAAGAGAATATGCTGTTACCATAGCATTTAGAGAGACCACATTGAGCTCTGGAAGCCCGGTAAAGACTCTAATCGCCTCGCACATATGCCCGGCTTGGGCAAATGCCAAGATCATGACCGTTGATGCCACGATGTTGCCACGTGGGAGTTGCTTAAACAGCTCACTGGCTTCTTCTATTTGCCCGGCTTGGGCATATCCGGCCAGCATGGCAGTCCATGCCACGTCATTCCTCTCGGGCATGTCATCAAAGAGTTTCTTCGCTTGGTCAATATGCCTCGCCTGGGCAAATGCGTACAGCATGGCAGTCCACGTCACAATATTTTTCTCTATCATAGAGTTAAACAAGTCCTTCGCACTCTGTACGGAAAGAAGCCCGGTAAAGACCCCTATCATTGCCGTACACGAGATTACATTCCACTCTGGCATTATAGCAAATAGAGAACTCGCGGAGCTGAGATGCGCGTTTTGGGTATATGCCGTTAGCAGAGCGCTCCAGGACTCTAGATTCCTCTCGGGCATAGCGTCGAAGAGATTCTTCGCCTCGTGGATCTTGCCTTGCTTGGAATATGCCGTGATCATGGCCGTCCAAATCACCACGTTGTGCTCGGGCGTCCGATCAAAGAGGTACCTCGCCTCGTCCAGATGCCCATTCGTGGCATACGCCGACACGATGAGGCTCCACGAGAAGAGATTTGGATTGCGAAGCCCATCGAAGACCTCCCGCGCAAGCTCCAAGCAATCCACTCGCCCATACATCTCGATCAAGTGATTCTGGAGGTAGCGATTAGGCGTGTGATCGGATATCGAGAGAATGTAAGCGTGTAGATCCATCCCCTCTTCCAGATCGTCGCAACACCGTAGTGCTTGAGCAATGGCTTGCTCTCTGGAATCGTGACCGCTCTTTGTGATCGTCAATGGACCGCCTCGCTCAAGGCGAAGCATGGATGACCACACGATTTGTGGTTATAATAGTTACTTTAGGGTTTAGCATAAATTTAATCCTGTTTACTCTAATTATGTAAAACTTTAAAACCCTAAAATCTTCCTCTATTTCGAGAAATCTCAAACCCAAGGAAACTTCTCTAGCAAAAGCAAAACTCAACTCCTGGAAGCGCTGCTGAGGCCCTTCGATCCTCAGTGTACTTTCTGGGCCTGAACGCTTGCGGACAATTGTGGGCTGATCTTCCCCGGAATAATCTACAGCATCTTTGAAAGCACCAAAGTGGTGTTCATGCTGCACATAGGCACGAGCGAGCATGCAAATCCGACACCCAGCAGCTATTGCATCCTGGCCCAGAGTTGCTGCCTCTCCTCGTCATACTCCACTCCACCAGCCGAGACGACCGCCTATGGCGTATCTCATCCGAGCTCGCTCCCAAGTGCCTCTGCGTGCTCGGAGACTGGATCCACGCCGCAAAGGCCTCACAGATTCCTCTGGTGGAGTTGCCAGTCGCAACGAAAACCCCTTTTCCACTGCGCGACACGCGCTGGTCCCCCCGCTTCTGTGACGATCCAAGGAAAAAGGATCACGATTTGAGCAAAGAGAAAGGCACTGTATAGACTCACAGTCTCGTTTCCACCTCCCACGATCAACGCTGGCGCCCAAGCAGTCCTCGAGATCAGCTGCAGCAGCAAACTCGTAAGTTATGGAATCACTTACATGATCATGAAGAGCTTACGTAAACTATGTAGAGGATCATGTCGGAAATCCGAGGTCTCCACACGGCCTCGTTGCGGCTGCCATCGTCGAAACGGTGCCTTCGAAGCGTGTTTTCGGAGCTTGCAGTCCGAAAGAGTCCGTCCCAGGCTGCCTGCTTGATCGCCCCGAATTCTTCTAGAGAGCACTTGGTCAGGCATGGATCCCACTGCACGTTGGCGCAAATCTCCACGAAAGGCTACCGTAGTCATTGCCAAAGACAGTGGCAGCCGCGTCACAAAGCTGGCGGCACTCGTCGCTGCTTCCCCGGCTCATCGTAGCCTGGATGTGCTCCACAATCGACTCCGATGATGTCGTGGTCGCGGCATCCCTTCCTCGTCCGCATCCATGTATAGATCAGGCGCGCAATCGGCACGCTCGCGCCTGCATGCTCCTGGAAGAGTGGCTCCACACGGTGGAAGTTGTAGTGGCCTTGGATCCACTGCTCAAGCCGGGCACGCATCTGGTTGTCCCATTGGATTTCTCCCGCTGCCACCACCTCCTGCGACACAAAAGTTGAATGCTTTCAATCACAATGGTGTCAATCATCTTTACCTCCAACATCTGGTGCAGAGCGACGGTGAGGTCCATGGACTTCCACTCTATCCTGGGCGCATTTTCGGTGCAGGAACGTATCCGTTTGAGCTTGTCCAAGGATGCCGGGGAGAACTTTTCATCCTTCAGCACTCCTTGTTTGCTCAGGAATTGCATTGCTATTGTTGCAGGCACTGAGCCAGAACCTGCTGCCAGATCAGATAAACTTCCTGATTGGAAAATTTGAAATAAGCTAGCCTTGTCCACAATTGGGATTAGTCTTGGTGAGTAGTATATTCATCTTCTTGATTGTATTGGACTGCTTAATCACAAATTTTAGTGGCTCTTTCATATAAAGCTCAATGCTAAGTTAATCATTTCAAAGCCTGTTTTGTTGCATGCAGCTTTATAAAGATTGCAGGGCTCAACTTCACCAACACTTACTCCCCAGTGGCTTGAACAGTGATGTTGGCATTAGCAGCACAATACAACTAGGAAATCCATCAGATGGATGTGCATAAAGCATTCCTCCATGGCGATTTAGAAGAAGAGATTTTTATTTCCCAGCCTGAGGGATTTCCGGAAGAGCTAGGGAAATGTGTAAACTTATCAGATCCTATACTGTTTAAAGAAATCTCCCTGAGCTTGGTTCACCAAGATGGATAGTTTTTCTATTATCCATTGGTTTCTCTCGAAACGCAGCTGACCAAAATGTTTATTTCAAACGCTTTGGTGACCTGCTCGTGATATCTGCTCTTTATGTTGATGATTTAATTTTAGTCTCCAACAATCTGTCTTTTCTTGATGAAATTAAATCAGAGATTGCATCTCAATTTGAGATGGATGATATAGGTGAGATTCAGTATTTTTTTGGCCTTCATATTTTGCAAGATAGAGTTTATGGCTCTCTTTATATATCTCAACAGAGATATATTAACAAGGTTCCCATTTTTAGATGTAGGATTGTACTCCAGTTTCAACACCTATGAAGATCAACCTTAATCTCTCCTTTGATTAGTCTTTAGAAGCTTCAGTTGCCTGTTAACATTACAAATTTGACAAAATTGAAGCTCTTTGTTCTCCTTATGAAATAACATACAATCATTAATGCATGAATCAATCCTTTTTAGGTAGGTCCATTGTGTTTAGTAATTTTTACCACTTCCTTATAATTATTTGGAAAAATGTCTTCATCCAAATAATGAAAAATTTAATAATAAATAATAAATAAAAATTAATTACCTTAGAAAATGATTTGTGACTTGGTTAATTTGCAGAATACTTAACAAAATAAAAGAACTAACCCTTTCATAAATAGGTAATAAATTATTTTCATTTCCATTTAACCATTCTGAGAAATAATTAAAAACATTATCATCCTTAATATTATAATTGACACCATCATTATCACCACTCAAATTAATACCACAATCATTTGGAATGACAAAACTTTCACCAATTTCAAAAAATTGTTCTATTGAAATAGTAAATCTATATAATTTAATCCCTTGAATATTTTCCATTGGAAACCATACATCATGTGGTTTTGAAAGATATCTACCATAAAGATGAATAGGATTTATCATAATTTATATGAGGCAAATATAATTACCTCTATACCTTGACATGTAACTTTTATTCCTAAATCTTAAATAAAAAGCATAATACAGATCTAAAAAAGAAAACAAAGTCCTTTTATTAAGAAACCTTGAGCTAAAAGTGGGCACATTATATTGCTACTAGTAATTTAATTGATATAAATATTGTTGAAATTTGTGACTAAAAATTTTTGCAACTACAAACTTTAAGAACTTACATTTTAGTCATACTTTAAAAGTTGTAAATTGCAACTCTAATTAGTAACATATATAAACTTATCTAATTTTAAAAAAATATGTTGTGAACTACAAATTATGATTTATATTTTAGTTGTAAAGGACAACTATAATTTCCAATTTAAATTTGAGTAACTATAAACACTATCACAAATTACAACTTAAAATTTGTAACTAAAGCCAATTTGCTAGTAACATTTAAGTTGATAGCAAGTAGTTGAAAATTACAACTTAAATTTCCAACAAACACAAAAATTTCGTTGGAAAAACATGTCATTATAATGCTTTTGTAGTTGCTTGAGTGACGGGTGTCAAACATGCCAATGAATTATGGGTTGATGGAGGTGGCTGCGGTTGTTCCAGCATTACTGGATGTAGCTGAGGGCCGCCACAAGCGTGCCAAGCTTGAAATGTGCAATGGAGGGGGAGGCCCTGGTAATAGCCCAGCTTCTGAGCATACTCATAAGAACCCGGCCAGCCGAACAGACTTGTAGATTTGACAGACATGTAGATCACAGCCATCTTAGTGCACAGACCTATATATCACGGTGATCTTATTAGCCTGGGAGGAGATAGATGCACTATAGTGTCTAGCTTATAACCCGACCTGAGAAGTAAAGTAGTTTGGGAGGAGATAGATGTCCTATAGTGTCCTGAGCACAGTCAACACAACCAGCAAGCAAGACGTAGTACTAACACATCTTGGAATCTTTCAAGGATTGTGGATTGTATGCATGGATCCACTGTGTTTTTATGCTGTGCCAGCACTGGAAATGCATAATTTTGAGCTTGCTGCCAGCCGAAGTTGTGAGCCATAAAAACGAGCAGGCACTAGGACAGAAACAGTGAATAATGTGAGCTCGTCGCCAGCCAAAGCTGTGCGCCATCAAGCGGCCAAGAGCAAGAGAGGGCGAGAGAGGTTGTTATATGTGATGGAGTAGAGGGATCCCCCAATACAAATCCACAAGCAATGACTAACCTGGCATTGTCGTGTATTTAGCTTCACGGGAGCGAAGATTCTTAATAGGGAGAACTTGTTAGCTACCCGCATAAGATCTAGCATCTGAAAATCCCAATCTTCATGCTTGTGCTTCATCTTCGACAGAATGAAAGAAATCAAGATTGAGAGGATCACTTTCAGTTCATGAAGACAAACAGATTGTAACTAGGGTACATTTATAGGATGAATGACACATCCAGCACTCTAAGCATCTATAATAGCATTCCAAGTCTCTAGTGGACACACTTGACCATTCCGGTACAGCCTGGAAAGGTCAATTCTCGAACTGTACATGCAGAAAGTGTTAAATCACCTTTATTGATGATATTTAATACAATGATTCAAAGTTGCATACTATCTATTGCACAATTCAATTGCCAGCCATTTTTGTGCTGGTGAAAGTGTTGTCTATGTTATGAGGATATTTGGAGATTGTTGGCCAAAATCCTTTCTACTGTTGAATTTCAAGTTTGGCTATATTAGTTGTAAATTATGAAACTTATTTTATCGGATTTAACAGTTGTAGATTTAAGGGTTTACAATATGTTTTCCGTAAAGTACAAACTTTTTTTTTCCATTTACAGCTAAAATACAACTAGCATGCTATACTTAAATAAGATTTACAGCCTAAATTTTTTGAATGAAAGAGATGAATTTTGTATTTCTTTTTTTCTCTATTCTATCTATTATAGCTTTTGCACAAAGTTTAGAAAGATTAAATGATTTAGTTTGTGAGGATTCTGATTGGGAAAACCTTATGTTATGCATCTTAAACAAAATGATAGGTATTTATGGAAACAAAGTAAATATATTTATGTATAAAGAATCAAACAAGTTTAAATTCCAACAAGATCCAGATCCTATAATTGATAATAGGGAATATCATGTTGATCTAACAAATGGGTTTAGTGAAATTTATAAAATTATAATTTTTACTAGCCAAGCATATTATATAACAGATAATTGGTATGGCTGGAATAATTGGTCATTTATAGGCTGTTTTCATCATCTTGAAAATTCAAATAGTGTAGAATTTTATGATTTTGAGTCTTTTTGTAATAGTTAATACTAATTAAATAAAATTTTAAGATAAGTATTGTGATTTAGTATTCTGTATCAAAATAAAATTATCTATCTAATTTTTAGTCTCTTATATTATTTAAAAATAAAGTTTTTCATATACACTTATAAAATTTTGATATTTACAAAAAATACTTTAATTATCAAATTAAGTTTTATAAACCAATAACACACTTCAATTCCTTACATATTTGCTTTTAATGACATATGCTTATCCTTACTTATGCCTTTGGGGTTCGAACCTGAGTTCTCTTTTATTCTATTTTTAATTTTTCTTAATTTTCTTTTATTATTCTTTTATCTTATGTTGTTATCTCTATTTGTTTGTCACTATTTTGAACATGAGTACAGGAAAAAAAAAGGTTTTACTAAGGATTAAGGATTCAATAGCATAGATTTAGCACTATGATTAAAAGATCAGGATTACAATTTTTTTATTTTTTTTTCTAAAGACATATAGCAACAAAAAGAAAAGAAGGCTTTAAATAAAGCAAGAAATATTATGAATACACTCCAATTATATAAAAGGAAAAACATATAAGTGATTTTAGGTAAGAAGAATTTTTTAAAATAAATATTGAATATATTATTTAATTAATTATTAGATATTATTCAAAATTTAAAAAAGATTCCTAATGAAGTTTCAAAAGAACTTCTTTTAAATCATACTTCAAGTCAAATTACTAATATAAAAAAAAAAGACTTTGATGCAAAAAAATCAAAATAATAATTTTTCTTTCCAATTCCTTCAACTAATTTAATTGAATAATAGGGTGTGCAAATTGATAGCAAAAGGATGTTATAAAAAAGTTAGTCTTCAAGATATCGAAGCACAATGTAAATAGCTTTTAATTAGATTTTCAAAGTTCTAAATTTAAATTTTTACAATGTCTCTAAATAAAAAGAGTTATCAAGTATATGGAAAATCATTTTGGTGGAAGTATAAGTAAAATTTGAATGAGAGAATGATTTAAAGCTTTTGCATAATTGAAAATTATTTCAATGGAGGTCTAAGTAGAATTTGAATAAGAAAACAATTTAAAGCTTTTGCAAAATTACGTATATATCAATTAATTGATCAATACAAAAAGGGAATGGATTTGTAAACAAAAGCAAATATGTAAGGATATATGCAAATATGTCATTTTCTCAACTATACTTTTCAAAAACAATTATAAATGAGAGAAAGGATGGATAATTCAAAATACATACAACAATGAGTGGGGGTTATTTTTTAACATGTCTAAATGCTACTTATATATTATATGATTTTATAATCGTTTTTAATTGCTTCATGTTTATCTATGACAAGTGTTACTTAGGTCGAGTCTTTTTTCTTTGGATGCTTAAGCTTAAACGCAATTCCATTTCACATAAACTTTTTTCTTTTGTTCTATTTGAGATGATACACAAAATAAAATATTTACCTTTTCATCACTCCCTTATGACAAAACTATTGCTTATCCTCAAGCAATTAGATTCTCCAAGTTTTATTCCAAGTTGCTAAGTTTGGTTTTCTTGGTGACAAGCTCAACACTTTGGCATAGATCGTCAAGTTCCTAACATATGATTTGATTCTCATGGTTGAGCATAGCAATACATTAGTTTTGGTGGTTGATGCGCTCTGCATTGGTGAATGTGAGAGTTGAGATTGCACTTTTAAGTTCTTAGATTATGTGGAGCTAATGATTCTATTTGCTCATGACTCCATCCACTTTCTTGGTGATTGTCTTGAGGTAGCTTAAGACTTGGCAAAATCACAATTCTCATAGAATCTTCAACTTGGTGAAATATCTTAACTCCATGAGTCAATGCTGTATAAGAATCCTTTTGATATGGGGTGTAAGGTTCTTATAAGTCAAATTGGTGATGTTGACTATGGTAATGTAGTTTTTTTTAAAAATGTTATCTACCATATGGTCCCAAATATATAGTAAACATAATGGTTGGAAACATGGTTAACCACTTGAGATATTAGTTTGGCTCCCATGGGACTTTGTCACTTGTTTTGCATTCAATTTAAGTTTAAGCCTAAACTCTATATTACTCTAATTGGTGGGGTACTTTTCTCACATTAGGCCACCAGTATATTGAAATTATGTTAAACTCCGTCTGACACCATTTTGTGTGTAAAAGTTGGTGCTCATAGAAGATATTGAGTGCATACTAAACCCTTGTTTTGTAGCATAACACACTTAAAGCTTAACTCCAAATTCAAATGCACTATAGTTATGTTGCTGCTGTTGCATCAAGAATTTTATATATTATATTTATGAAAAGTAGTGTGTGAAGTTTACCCATTATAAAGTAAAGTATTTGTAATTCTTCTCCCAAACCATGCTAATAACATTTATTTTGTTTATAACATATTTATAACAATATTAAGAAGAAATGTTTTGCTAATACCATCAGGGCCATTAATGAAAATGTATTGATTATGCTCCATTGGCTGATCAATTACATTAAAATATTTAACTATTCTTGAAGAATATTTTGTTTAAAATTTATATTGAGTCCTAGAATTGTTGAGAAAGAAAGTGATCATCCACATCTATTGTGGTTAGCTCCAGAATTCAAACATAGCACAGCTCTTCATTGCTAATGCACTCCCTCCGACTAGTTATTTATGAAATGATACTCATGAATTCTTGAGGGGATAAGCTTCACCGTCGAGAGGGAAACAGCCCTGCCTGTGATGCTGTTCATGCAACACAAGGCAAAGTAGCTATGGAACCCTAGAAGTGCATGGTGTAACAGTTATCACCACACCCTCTTCCCTTTTTAACATGCTACCAATTGAGCTGATATGCAAACCATGGCTACCGACCATGGCCTGGGCCTGGCCCCGACCCCGGCCCAGGATCAGACAGCTTGGGGGTACGGCCCTTCGTTTTTATATATATAGATGATGCGTGCTAACGTGGCAGACACGTGTTTGGTCTGGACTATGACATGGTTTCCTCTTTTGTATCCCACGTGAAATATTTGGCTATGGCGGCTCCGATGAGTTTAGGGATGGGTTCTTGGCGAAGGAATGGCGCCCGAGGTTCGCCTTCCAATTCACATTGTCGCGATCGCCGCGCCAGGTAGGGATTCGTGAGAGCTACCCGGTCTCGAATTGGATTGGAAATCCTCCGGATCCGTGGAACTAGCAGCGCAGGAAGTTTTCGATCCGAGCTATGGAATCCAGTCGGCGGGCAGTCGAAGCATACAGGCGGACTAGGTTAATCGATGGAGTGACCACCGACGATGATAAGGTCGCTCCAGTGTATAAATTGGACGAGATCAGCTCAGTTCTTCGCTCGGCGCCTCACGACGTTGTCCACGAAATGGTAGAGTATGTCTTCAAGAGATTGGAGCACAAAAGCCCGCTAGTGAAGCAAAAGGTATGCTTTGGTTGTTTTCTTTGTTCTCTCCAGTTCTTCTCATTGTCTATTCGTTTCTTGCAGACACTGAGATTCATCAAATTCGAAGTTGGAAAATCTGGAACCGAGTTTAAGAGAGAAATCCAGAGGCAGTCTGCAGCGATACGGCAGCTGTTCCATTATCAAGGTCAGCCCGATTCGCTCCGAGGTGACAGTCTCAACAAGGCGGTTCGTGAGACTGCTCGCGAGGCCATCACTGCCATGTTTGCGTCCGACGAGAAACCACCGGCTTTGGAGGAAACCAGCAGAAGGATTGAGGGTTTTGGAAGCACGAACTTCGATTCTAGAGCTTCACAGGAGAAGAAAACGCTTTTAAGCGAGGTGGTCGACATAGGCACCGCGTCTATCAAGCAAGGTTTGACAATGATAAGCAGCCACTATGGTCACTTTGGCAGCAGCAACGGCACGAAGAGCAAGAGCTCTTCCGGAAGCTACGAGGCTCCAAACTTACGTAGATCGGTATCGGAGCGAGACAACTTTAAGTACCGGGATAGCCATCGGGATTCTTATTCTTATAGCGAGAGTCGGGATACTTACAGGGAGACTTACAGAGGAGGAGCTTCTGAGGAGATGTCATACGAGCAGCCTGATTCTCCAAAGTCCGATGCAGCGGACGAGAAGAGTGAAGACGCCAACGGTTTAACGCAAGAAGAGAAACTCCTGGACACGGTGACGGCTGTCGGTGGTGTGCGCCTTCAACCAAGCCGCGAAGCGATACAGTCCTTTCTTTTGGCAGCGCAGGTGCTGAATCCTCAGAGGCTGCATCAAGCCTTTGAGCAAAAGCTACAAGTTCACTCCTGGCAGGTAAGTGGTGAAGTTGGTGTAAACTTTTCGTTCTTGTTCTGATTCAATTGTTTCAAGATAGGTTCGCTTGAAAACTTTGTGTTTTCTTGAGGCTGTGCTACGTCAGAGAGCAGTGAAACCATTTGGGGATGTCTCACAACGTTTTGAGGCAAACCATGCCAGCGTCATCGACTGTATGGATTCGCCACAAAGCTCTCTACGCGAAAAAGCAAACAAGGTATGCTTTTGTTAACTTTTGCGAGACTAACGATGTATCTCCAGGTTCTTAGCTTGCTTCAAACTGAAACCGAGGAGGGCTCTCAGGTATTAAACGACGTAAGAAGTCGCCAACCAAAACGCACAGAGCGAGTTGAAATGCCAGATTTGATCGACACAAACGACGATGATTCCAGCACTCATCAGAAAGACGAAGTGGATATCCTGAGCTCGTTAACAGAAGCCTCACCAGTCCAGGGCGACTTGCTAGGCGACGGCTTACACGAGAACACCGAAACTAACGGAACAAGCAGCCTCTTCGAGGGCCTCAGCATTGCCGAAGAGCCGTCAAAAAAGCCAGCATCAGCCACGAACATCAGTGATCTACTGGGATCTCTGGACACAGGCACTCCATCGTTTCAGCAACAATCCAACTTAGATCCAGGATTTGGTCAGGATTTCTCCGGGCTTATGGGATTAGAGCCGCAGCCACAGCAGCAGCAGCAGCAGGGATTGAGTGGAGCTCCACCAAGTTTCGTGTCACCGAGCATTCCCGGGGGTGCCGAGTTCATCATGGCAAACTTCGACGCTGCGAGACGCTTTGCTCCTCAAGCTCAAGCTCATTATCCAGGAACAGCACCACCACTCTATGGTTTCGGACAAGCACCACCAGCACAGCAGCATCGCTTCCAGCAGCAACAGGATTTCTCGGGCGGATTTGGCATGGGATTTGGCTCTCAGGGAGCGAGCTTTGCAAGCGACGCGTTCGATTTTTCGAGCCATCCATATTCGTTAGCTTCCGCAAGTCTTCCCAGAATGGAGGAGACAACCAAAGCTTTCGACTTCATCTCGGTAAGAAAAAAGAAAATCTCTCTTTTTTCTTCGTGATTGATTTTCTTTCTTTCCAGGATCATATGAGCGCTGCTCGCACGACGAAGAAATGAAGATAAGATTGGTTTATAATAATGGGGTGCTGTATTAATTTTGATCGAGTTCAATGAAGGATTTGAGATAATCTAATCGGATGACAGAATATTCTCTTGGTATTTTCCGCCATATAATTTGAAACCCCCGTGACAAAAAGAAGGGCTTGCTTGTTCGCTAGTAAGCTATGGAGCAGCAATGCGTCATCGCGGAGGACGAGCGCGTGCCCGTGAGAGTGAGCTTGGAGAGCGTCTACGGGCATGGATCGCTGCTGGACGAGGCGAGATTTCGCTACGCGCGGCTCCGGGCGAGGTTTGCAGAGATCTATGGCAGCGATCCGGATTTCTACGCGCGAGCGCCAGGTTTTCTTGATATTTTGCTCGATTTGTGGATTGGATTGGCGATTGGCGGCTCCCGGGAATGCAGGTCGAGTGAATCTTATCGGCGAGCACATCGATTACGAAGGCTACTCGGTGCTGCCAATGGCAATCCGCCAGGACACGATTGTCGCGATTGGGAGATCCTCGGAAAGCGATGGCTCGCCGGCTCTGCGCGTTGCGAGTATCGATAGCGAGAAATTTAAGCCGTGCTCCTTTTCGGTTGATCCATCTCAGGTTTGTTGGACTTCTTTTTTGGTATAGAAAGGTTCTTGGTTTCATTGTCACTGTCCCAGGAAGTGGATCGATTGAATCATACATGGGGGAATTACGTTCTTTGTGGGTATGTAACTTTTTGTTTTAAGAGCCTTTCTAGCTTTTCTTCAATTTTCCTTTACCTTACAGGTACAAAGGTGTTTTCGAGCACTTGGAATCAAAAAAGATACATCGTAAACCAGACACGGGCCTTAATGTCTTGGTCGATGGAACTGTTCCCATGGGTAAAGAATTCTCCCATTTTCAGTTCATGTAGCACAGAGATACAAAGTCCATCTATTACAGGATCCGGATTATCGAGCTCGGCAGCATTAGTTTGCTCCTCTGCACTTTCTATCATGGCAGCACTTGATCTTTCGTTTACCAAGGTTGCCACAATATTTTTTTCACCGTGTTTGCTTGCTTGCGCTCAGGATCAGGCCTTTCCAGCTCGTCTGCGTTGGTGTGTGCATCAGTGCTTGCATTCCTGGCCTTATTCGAATTATGTGCTTTCAAGGTTTGAAAATGCCTGAGATTGCTAGTCCGGAAAAGTGTTACTGCTGTACGCTAACTGTTTGTCCTTGGTTTTTCAGAAGGAAGTCTCAGAATTTGCTTGTACCTGCGAGCGGCATGTTGGTACGCAATCTGGTGGCATGGATCAGGTAGATTTAGTAGCGCGTTTGTACAGATTTTTTCACGAATGTTTTTTTCTCTGCAGGCCATTTCGATCATGGCACAACAAGGCGTTGCAATGCTGATCGATTTTAATCCTATCAAAGCCACAAGCGTTGTACTACCAGCTGGTGGTACCTTCGTAGTTGCGAACTCGCTTACAGAATCTAACAAGGCTGTGACCGCGGCAACTAATTACAACAATCGAGTTGTTGAGTGCCGTTTGGCTGCGGTAAGTTAAAAGTTTTCCTCTCACGGTTTTTTTATTGTCCAACGCCTTTTTGCAGATTGTACTCGCTGTGAAGCTAGGGACGGCAGCAGACGAGGCGATTAAATCCGTGTCCACACTGTCTGACGTAGAAGGCTTGTGCGAGGCGTATGCAACTTCTCGCGACTCGTCCGACTTGTTGCTTGCGATTGAGGTAAAAAAGCGTTTTAGATTTTTGTACCTTACGTTCGTATAAATCAGGACTTGTTGCATGAGCATCCATACACGACAGAGGAGCTAGAGGAGCTATTAAAACACCCCCTAACTTCAATTTTCCCGAAGGGTTCGAGCTTCCAAGCTGTACTTTCGGTTGCTAAACAGTTCAAGCTTCACCAGGTACTCAAAATTGTTCTTTCTTATCCATCGACCAGATAATCACGGACGCCTTTCTGGGGTTGTGTGTAGAGAGCAACGCACGTATACTCGGAAGCAAAACGCGTGTACGCTTTCCGTGACACTGTTTCATCTGGCGCAGGGTACTGTCCTCGTTGAGTTATCTATGTGAGTGTAGCTTATCTTTTTGTTTTGTTTTTTTTTTTGGGCAGAGAAGAAGAAGCATTGAAACGGCTTGGAAAGCTCATGAACGACAGCCACACTAGCTGCAGCAAACTCTACGAGTGCAGGTTTACATTCATCACATGTCCCAAAAAGAAGAATTTTTAACTCTTCTCTGTGAATTCCAGTTGCCCAGAGCTTGAGGAACTCGTTCAAGTGTGTCGATCGGCTGGAGCGCTGGGAGCAAGGCTGACTGGAGCCGGATGGGGCGGCTGCGTGGTGGCTCTGGTACACGAAGCATCGGTTCCAGCTTTCATTCTTTCGCTCAAGGCAAGTGTCACATTTTAAAGTTAAAGCTCACACATTTTATTTCATTTTTTCATGCAATTACAGGAAGGCTTCTACAACTCTCGAATCCAGAAAGGCATCGTCAAGCCCGAATCCCTGGGGCTCTACGTCTTCGCGTCCAAGCCATCCAGTGGAGCCGCCGTGATCACCACCATCTAGTAGGCAACAGAGAAAATCAAGAAGCAGCTTTCCTTCTCGTTGTCAAGTCACTTCCGCTTCTTCTCGGCCTTTTTCTCGGCCGTGCGATCATCCTCCGGGCTGCGGCTGCGGCTGCGCTTCCGGCCGCGCGAGTCCTCATCCGAGCTCTCGGACTCGGACGTGGTGGCATTCCTCCGCCGCTTCCTACTCCTCGGCTTCTCATCCTCGGACGACGAAGACGAGGAAGGCGAGGAAGAGCCATCGCCAGAGCTCGACGATGGAGACGGAGACGGCGATCTCCTCTTCCTCCTTGCTCGGCGACGCTTCCTCTCATCCTCAGACGAGGAGGAAGACGAAGAAGGCGAGGAAGAGGAAGAGCCGCCATCGCTATCGCTCTCCCCCGACTCCGACGACTCGTAGCGCTTGCTGCGACGTGCCATCTTCTTCTTCTGGCGCCGCCGCCGCCGCTCCATCTCCCGCTCCTTCTCCCGCCGCCGCTCGCGCTTGGCCACCTTGTCCTGCTCCTTCCGCTCCTTCTCGCCCAAAAACTCCACCACCTCGCTGGCGTCCATGAGCTTGGGCTTGAGCTTGGGGTTTTTGAGCTGCTGGGAGCGCGAGGGACGGCTCATGTAGATGCGCTCGTTCTTACACTCGTACGTCCAGTGGCGCTGGAAGCACTTCTGGCAGTGGCCCGTGAGCTGCTTGCTGCCGCCGCCGCCGCCCTCCTTGTTGCGCAGAACGTCTACCGTCACCGGCCGCTCCGTGCTCATGAGATACATCTGGCGCTTGGCCTCCTTGCGCTCCTGCCATCGGCTCGGCCCCTCCTCCTTCTGCCCGTAGGCGTTCACGTTGCGCGCCGCCGCCGCCGCGGCCCGCTCTACCTGCACCCTGCTCATCCTCCTCCCCCTCGCCCTAACCTAAGAACCCTAAAAACACTCACTTTAATACCGTACACATTTGAAAAATGTGTACGATATTTCAGGGTTTTGAGTTTTAATACCGTACACGAAAAACATACTTTTAGGGTTTTGCGTCCCGGAACAAACGGAATATTGCTCTGGTGTAGAATCGTACTTTCGCATATACGTTTAGGGTTTGCGATACAAAAATTCTTACACTTTCTTTCCGTACTTTCTCGCACACTGTATATTTCTGTAAGAAGAATAATATCAAGCTTTGGAGAAGTGCTTGACGCCACCACCACCATTTGCCGGCTGACCACCGCCACCCTTGGTCGTCCACTCCACCAGGCTCTTGAGCTTGCGGCTCTTGCCGTTGGCCACCACCGACGCCGGCGACCAGTTGCTGTTGTTGCTGCTACTCATCCTGCTGCTGGCGGGCTTATCAATCGATCGCCCAAGCGTCCGGAGCGGGAGATCGAACTCCGAGCTCTCGGCGGTGCCGGTGTTGTTATCGAAGCTGCTGCCCAAGTTGCTCCCGATCGACTTGGTGGTGAGGGTCCCCAGGCTCCCAGACCCGCCATTTGCGAGAGGAGCGATGGCTATCACCTTTGCCGGCGGTCCTTTCTTTGCTCGGGAAGAGCTACTTCTTCCAGTGCTGATGCTGCCGCTGCTGCCGCTGCCGCTGGTGCTGCTGCTACTGCCGCTGCCACCATCGTCGCCAATCTCACCGCGGCTCTCCGGGGAGCAGTAGATTCTCCTGTCAGTCTTGAGCCTGTGCCACTCGGCCAGCCTTCGCTCCTTGGCCGAGGCTGCGTCTTTGGTGAGGTCTATCGAGTGGAGATCGTCGTCCAGTGACTCCACCTCCTCGCTCCTCCTCGTCTCGGACTGCTGCTTGAGGCTCTCGCGCTCCTGCGAGAGCAAGCTGTCGACCGAAGCGCGCAGCATCTCCCCGTCCCTGATATCCGCTTGCTGGCTTGCGTAGTCGCCGTCGTCCAGGACTCTCCTCCTCACTCTCAGAAACTCCTCCAGCTTGCCTTTGATCTTCTCCACCAAGTCCAGCTTCTCCTGGATCTCGTCTCTCGCCTCGGCCAGCTTCATATGGACGCGCTCCTCGCGCCACGCCTCGGCCATGTGTAGCATTCGGCGCTCTTCTTCCACTTCCTGCCTTATTCTCAGCGACTCGCGCTTGAGCTCTTCAACTTCTGCCTTGTCTTCGCCTATCTCTCGAGCCAGCTCGTCGCACACATCCTCCATAAGCTCCCTTGCTTTGCGTTCCTTCTCGAGCTCCTGGAGTACCTTCGAGAGCGCCATCTTTGCTTCGCCGAGCTCTCTCGACAGTTTCTTGTTAGCCATCTCCATCCTGCGTTTCGACTTGCGCTCTTCATCGGCCTCGTCCCTGACAGACAGCAAAGCCTGCTTCACCCTGTCCTGCTCCTTCCCAAAAGAGCCCGCTTTGTCGTCCGCTATCTTCTTGAGTAAAGCCTCGATCTCCTTGCGAGCCAATTTGTTCGCTCCCTCTAGCTCCTTGACTTTGCTACGTGCGACATCAAGTTCCGTCCTTAACGCACTGGCCAGAGCCGCACCGCTGTGCTGCTCTTCCAAGGCGTGTAACCGCTCAAGAAGCTCGGGGGATGCTGAAAAACCGTCGGGGCTGGCAACAATTTTCGTCTCTGGAGATGCTTGTGACGCCGAATCGCTCTAAAAAAACGCTCACGAAGTTAATACACTGCCTAGCTAGAACACATCCAAGTCAAACAACAAAACTGCCCCTGACGAAAAAGAAAAAGAGCCATCGATAAAACCAAAGGTGGCAAGCAGGAAAGAACAGTATTGCAGGGAAAAAGGGAAAAAAAAGAGCCATGGAACATACCGCATTGTTGCTGTTGCTTTTGGCGATGGAACTCTTAACCGCAGTCGCTTGCTTGTCCAAGCATCTGTTGATGTGAGACTGCATTGCGGCCAGCTGCCTGTTCGTGTGCGCAATTTTTCCATTTCCATCTGTAGACTGCGCAACGAGCAATGTGTCACCAAACCTGATCCAGAAAAATCAGCACAAAAAACAGGATCAAACACACCTACGAGTGAAAACGGAGAGTCATCAAGCTGGGAAAAATTCGATCTCTACCTTGGCAGCTTCCTCCAGAGCGCTAGCCGTGGACGAAATCGCTGGAGAGGATTTCCTCTTTGCCGGAGGTGGTGGCAGCGAGAGACTCGACTTTGGAGATTCCGCAGAGCTTCTGGGCGGCGCCGCTGGTGGGCTGCTTGTGGCGGCGGAGTCTGGCGATGCCGCCGGCGATCTGGGCAATGGGATCTCCTGGAGCTCCCACAAGCTGGCCGCGAGCTTCCTGGCGGAGACACTGGCCCCGGCTTGGATCACATTGCTGTAGAAAGGATTCTCGTAGAGCTTCCAGCTGGGAACCGGAGTGGTCGGGCCCCTGTGGGCGCCGCTCACCCCTCGCTTCATGCGTAGGCTCGTCGGCCTCCAAATCGCGGCGATTTCCCTGTCCCTAGAATCCTTGTGGTGCTGCGGATGCAACGTGATGGATGCCCCGGCCTTGTTCCTTCTCATGGCTCCAGCTCCAGATGGAGCGAGAGTCGAGAAGAGAATCACACTGCTCCCCCGCCAGGACGAGCAAGGGGAAAGGAAGAATAGGGAAGAAGGGATAATCTCCCGATCTCTAGCTCCGGGAGATCGTCTCGGCGCTTACCTCCGGCGCGCAAGGGATCAAAATCTTGCTCCTCCAAGAAAATGTAGATCCAAAACCCCTGTCGTGCACATCGCACGGGACAGCACGACGATCCGGCGCAGAAATTTCACAGCCCAGGACGCATCGATCCAAAACCCCAATAGCGATCGATCGAGGGCGGAGTGGAGATTTGCGCCTCGCGGCAGGAACAAAGGCTTTAACAAAAGTGCGTACCCGTACGGCACCGCTGCGATCCGACGGCGCAAACCCCGCCACGCAGACGCATCGGGACCGTTAGACAACCTTTACATTGTTTAGGGCACTTTGCCTCGACAGCTAGCCTTTAAAATTGGCCTTTGGGTGTCCATGTAAAAGTGACAAGTTCACAACCATCACAAAAATTCCCAGCAGCAACAACATCACATAAAAAAAGAGGAGGAATAATTATAGGTTAGATCAAGCACCACAAGGTGACGCCACGCAACACACTTACCACAAAAAAATATTCTTATGGTTGACCCCACAACATTTTCTCATCGTGCAAATGCCCAACCACATTCTATTGTGCTTGAAACTTCTAGTGTCCACTATGACAAATTTAAATTAAAATAACTTCAAATAGTTTTAACTTAAACTTAAGAATGACTATTTAAATATTTACTTTATTTTAATTTTAATTCAAAATTTTCTGCGAGTAAAACTAACTATCTTGGGCATAAACATTGGAAAGAAGAACATAAGGAGTAGACACTCTAGGATCCAACTTCACGGCATTTGCAGTAGTCCTGTTTGCTCGCTCCAAATCCCCTAGTGTGGTACAAGCTCCCAGCAAATTCGTCCAGGCAAACGTATCGGGCAAATATGGCATGGAATTTATCAAGCTCTCGGCTCTCCAGAGCTGTTTTGCCCGACCCAGCATATCAACCATCGCATAGTAGTGCTCGACCCCAGGATTTAGGTTAAAATCTCCAAGCATCGAAACGAAGTAGTCCCGGCCCTCTTCCAGCAATCCCTTGTGGCGGCATCCAATGAGAATGGCCATAAATGTCACGTCGTTAGGGCTCACGCCCTGGACATTCATGGCGTGGAAGAGGTCCAGGCCAGCTGAAAGGTGGCCGTTAAGAGTATATGCCGCGAGCATCGCGTTATACGACACCACGCCGCACGGGCAGATGGAATCGAACGTTTCCCGGGCGTCACGCAGCTGCCCGGCCTTGGCATATGCCGCGATCTTCGTGTTCAATGCCGCCACGTGTCCCTCGGGCAGATTCTCCAGCATCTCGAGCTTCCGGTGGAGGATCTCCACGCTGGTGCCTGAGTATGACGTGGCGGCCAGCACGCGCGACGTGGCGTCGTGCTGCGGCATCCTGTCGTACACCGTGCGGCATTTCGTACTAGCCGAAGAATATGCCTGCAGGAGTGAGTTCCACGTCAGCAGGTTCCTGGCGGGAATCTTTTCGAATAGGTCCCTTGATTCCAGGATCTTTCCACTCCCGCCAAATCCAACGATCAGAGCGTTCCATGCTACCACGTCCGTCATGGGCATCCTATCAAACACCGCCACAGCAGCGTCCACATCACCGCCCTGAGAATATGCTGCGAGGATTCCCGTCCAGGAGAACACATCCCTGGTGGGCATCCTGTCAAACAAAGCCTTGGCTTTGGGAATATCCCCACCCCGGGCATATCCGCACAGCATGGCGCTCCAGGCAATGGAATCTTTCTCCTCCATGGAGAAAAAGATGCTCTCCCCATCTTCCACATTCCCTGCCGAAATCATCATGCTACAAGCACTTGTATCCAACATTGGAAACTTGTCAAAGAAATGCTTACACTCTTGGATATTCCCACCCAGAGAATATGCCACGAGCATTGCCTTCCAAGAAGCAGAATCTCGCTCAGGCATGGAATCAAACACCCGACGTGCTTCGTCAAGATGCCCGCCTTGGGCAAATGGCACGAGCAATGACGTCCACGTCAGCGTCTCCAGCAGGGGCATTAAGTTAAACAGGCACTTAGCCTCGTCTAAGCTGCCATTTGCTGCAAATGCCATTATCATCGCGTTCCACGCGATCTCGTCGCGCTGGGGCATGGCATCAAAGAGCATCTTCGCGGAATCAAAATGCCCGCGCTTAGCGTAGACCGTGAGCATCGTCGTCCACGACGCGCAATCCCTGGAAACCATTCTGCTGAAGAATAGCGTGGATTCCTCCAGATCGCCGAGAAATGCATAGCCCTTGAGCATCACATTCCACAGCACAAAATCACGCTGCGTCAGTCCATCGAAGATCGCGCGCGCCTTTTCGATTTGCCCAGCACGCGCGTAGCCGGAGATCATCGCGGTGGATGATCTTCGATCTCTCAGAGGGAACATCTGGTAGAGGAGCTCGGCCTCCTCCATTTGCCGATTCTGGGCGTAGGCCGCGATGAGAATCGCCCATGAGCAGCGGTTTGTCCTCAGCCCCAATTGATCGAAGACTTCTTTGGCCTCGATCGCGCTGCCGCATCGCCCATACATCTCCATGATGGAATTCGCGAGGCATCGTTTCCTGCTGCGATTGCTGCGCCGGATCTGGTCGTGGATGCTCCTCCCTCGCGCGAGATCTCTCTGCCCCGTGCACGATTTTAGCAGCTTGGTGAATACCGCGACCTCGTCGTTGTGATCGTCGGGCCCGGGATCCAGCACCGCCGCAGATTCAGTCGAGAGATAGCGTCGAATCGAGGGGATGATCCTCCGCCCGCGAGCTCGCATTGATCTGCATTTCCCGCTCTAGGGCATTTTGTTCTGTGCCGTTGGATGTAGGGCTCTTCCAGTTTGCTCCGCTGCCGTTGGATGAGTTTAAACTTTTTCCCGCAATTTTGCGCTTTTAGGGCTGACGCTTTGGATCTAGGGTTTTAGGGCCATGGCGATGATCCCCACGACGCCCAAGCGCAAGAGCGGCTGGTACACGGCCGCTGAGGTCAAGCAGCACTGCACTCCCGGCGATTGCTGGATCACGCTGCTCGGATCGGTCTACGATGTCACCAATCTCGTCACTCGCAATCCAGCGTTTCTTGGCAAGCTCTTGATCCACGCCGGAGGAGGCGATATCAGTCACTGGTTTGATCCCAGCACTGGAAGCGTCAAACGCCACATTGATCCGGTTTCCAAGCAGGAGGTCTTCCACACGCCGGAGGTACAAATTCATCAAAGTTTATTGGAAGTTCTAAAAAGAAATCGTGAAGAGTTTATCGATCGAGCAAAATTTGGTCTTGGCAGGGGAGATTTGTTCACGTCCCTCCACGCGCTCCTAGAACAGACTGGGATTCATCGTTTGAGTTTGAGTGGTGGAACGATCTCAAGTACATGATTGGCAAACTAAGCAAAAGAACTCGGTGCATTCGAGTGAAGAACGTTCTCATCAACCAAGACATCCTTCTAGAGGTATGGAAAAGGAAGATCTCTTTTTCACTTTCCAAGATCTTAGGAGATAACACTTTATAGGTTCCTTGCGAAGAAACTGTGGGCCAGATTCTAGATCGCTACAAAGATTACAACAGTCATGCAGATAGCTACTCTTGTCGAGCAGTGAGCTTGAGTGACGCTCATGAGTTTATCCAGTTGGATTTAAACAAGACTTTGCAATGCAATGGTGTTCCAGATATTTCTGACATTGATGAGTTCCCTCCTCCAATTAAGGAGAAGCTGATTTACGAGTATCTTGGCTCAGGATTGCCAGCTTACTTTTATGTTCCAGTTATTCTTATCTACTATAATGATGATTTGACTATAGCATAACAAATAACTTCAAATATGTAAAATATAAAAATTATAAAAGTATTTTAAATATTTATTTACCTTATAAATAAAAAATAATTGGAAATATTTATATGAATGTAAATAATAATAATAATATATTAAAGTTAAGATATGTAATAAAAACTTATAGAACATATATGGTTTGCCAATTGATAAAAACTTAAAAACCTCAATAACATTTATATAATTTTTCTTTTATTTTGGATCCATTTTTATTATCTAAAGAAGCAAAATATAACACCTCTAGCTCCTATGTCATATTTCACCATCCAAGAAGAAAAAAAGTTACTTTGGGAGACTGAATTCTAAACAGTATATATTCTATTATAATATTTATCTTTTGTTAATAAAATTAAGAATATAAATAGAGAAAGTAATGATGAAAATATTTATATACTAATATCATAGGGTATAAAGTTAAAACCATGTGTGCTACACTTAGGACATAGTGGCTGGCAGAGTTGTAATACATGTTGCCACATGCATATCCACTAAAAAAAGGGATACAAAAGAATTTAATCAATTGTTTAAAAATATTGTATAGGCAAAGATTGTGAAAATTCATTGATAACTCCAAAGCATGTTTAAAAGACCATATTAAATTTATCATAAGCACTCTACTTGATCTAAGCTGCTAAAAAAGATGAGACTAACTTATAAGACTTACTTCGAGGTGTCAAACTTGCTATTAGCCTCAAAAGGTATGCATGTAATATTTTATACTTTATAATAATTTTATCAACTCCATTCATTTTCTTTTCTTTTTTTTATTTTTGAACAATGATTCAGTTGATTGTTGTTTTTCTTTTGCTTATTTTTTGGAAGGATCATGTATAGTTTAGTGAGTTATAATAAAATTGGACATGAGCCTAATGACATCTTAAAACTGCTTTGGTGACAATGCTGTTGAAGCCTACTGAAAAATTGTTATAAGACTATTGGAATAGTGGAGTGGTGCTCTTTCTAGTAGGAAGCACATCAATGGAGTTTCATGATGATTGACACTTAGGATCACATTTTATATCAACACCCCAGGTATGTTTTATGTTGCAAATCCCTTTATAAAAATCTGTGGTTTTCCCTCCCATTTAGTGAGAACCACTTTCAAAACTATCAAAAATCAGATATTTTCATATGCCTTGACTTATACTGAAGGAAGGCAGAGGTTTTGTGTTGAAATACATACATAATTCTCAAATTATACCATACACTATCGAGTAAGCTTTGGTGCTCACCAAGTATAAAGCTATGGTATAGTCACTATATCTTAAGCACCCAAGGTAGTTAGAAATACTTGTAATGTTGTTGTAGGATGATTTTTTTAGAAGTAATTATTGGAGCTTTGAATCATCAATCAAAACAAAGTTCTTGGGTCTTTTATTTAGTAGGAAATAGTTTAAACTTGGAAAATGGGCTTTACAAAATATTAATTGTAAGTTGGTGTTAACTAAGAAGAGGGGTGAAAGAATTTAATACTAGAGTAAGCATCCTTTCAAGTGTGTTAATGGATGTTTGTCCCATTTATAACAAGATCAGAATTTTATGATTAAAGACCTTCAAGATCATCCATTTGATAAATATTGTAATCCATAACTAGATTCTGTTATAACAGCAAGTTTAGTGGTGAGGGGAGATGGAAACATTTTCATTTTCAAAAGAAATAATTTGGAGAGCTATTGAGTAATCTCTTTTTGTAGCTTATGATGACTTTAATTTACTTTTAACTTTTCTTAACATTAAGAATAACAACTCTTAAAGCTTAGCAATCATTTAGGAAAGCTCTAATGTTTTTCTCGATGCAAGCTAAACAGAAGAAGAAGTTGAAGTGATGGTGTACAAAAAGAGTTGCCATGTTGCACAATCATGATTGCTGCTACCTCTACTTGGAGACTAAATGTCCACCCTCACTCAGATCCTTATAACCATGATAAGCACCTTTTAGGAGTCCACAAAGAAAATTGATTGATAAACTAGTCTATCCAAAACATACAATGTAGTCCCTCTTGAACTAGCATCAATCCTCTTAGCTGCAAAAGTTGCATTGCTGTTATGGTTGAGGCAAGGACCCTACTTCATGCTAGTACAAGTTTAGTGGTGGAGCATTGTTGTATCCCTAGCCACAGTGTTCTTTCTATGCACCCCTTCCTAGTCAACAAGATTCAACACCAAAGGAATGTAGTCATTGCCAGGATATGCTCATTGCTATATAGGATTCTTTAACTGATCTAAACTCTTGAAGTGAATATATTATTTCAATGTTACTATTTGCAAATAATCACAAAGGTTGGCTCTAGCTCCATAGCAGCAGGTTTTCTAACAAAGGCTATTGTTAGACAATTCTCACTTGGTCAACTTGTCAGGTGGTAATGCATTATTGTCACAGTAGCAAGCATTGAGGGATATCAAAGGGAAGGGCATGGTCAGTGATGTCAACATGATTGGCTTCTCCTCTACTCCTTGGACTTATTGGACATGCACATTGGTTAGAATAATGAGGCATCCTGAGACAAAGACCATGGATTGGTGAACTCTTTCATGAGAACCATGGCTTCTAGATACTGGAGAAAGCTGGCTGGACTACAGAAATAAGGTTAAGATCATATGGTCAAGGTTGGTTCTATTTAGTTGAGGCTACCATGATTGTCAACTATTAAGGAGTTAGCACAAGAACAATCTTTGGTAAGTTTCAAGATGTTTTAGAGTTTGTGGAGGTGGATCATGGTTTTTAACCCCTCTTGGACAATTATGTGAATACAATGATTTCCTTAGATGTTTTCTATGCAGTAATGACATATCAACAAGCTCATGAGAAGGAAATTCTTAATCAACCAGCAAAAGTGGTACAAAAAGTAGATTTATCACATTTTTGTACCTTCGGAGACAACTCTAGAGCCTAAGTAGTAGCCTTTCTCAACAACTCTAGGTGTTAAAGATTTATATTTTTCATAAATGTGGTTGTTTTGTGCTTTGCAACAACACTAACTACACTCACTCATTGAGGACTTGAAGCTGATGCAACCAAACTTTAATATCTTATAGCTTCTCTAGCTAGTTCCATATGTGTTGGATAAGTTTGTAAGTATTGCCAATCAACTACCTCATGTTTGGCAGCATGCAAATGTGCATATTACGGATGAAATGAGGGAGATTGATCTTGGAGTGTTCTTTTATGCAAATAAAGTTGGACTCCACATGATCCAAAATGTCATCATCAACTCTAGATTTAGAATCAACATCATCTTAGCATATATTTATCAAGAGTTTGGCTTGGCTGTAGTCATGCTAACATCAGTGATCCTCAAGACTTTTGCCTAGCATCAAGTGCCACTAATAGATCAAAGTCTTGGTCAGATGGGGTTCAAACCACACAAGACTTCCTGGTCCTTGACTTTTTAGGAGGACACAAGGCGACAGCTCAAACCTTCATGGCTTTTACCCAGGTTGTTTTTGAGGACTTGCTGCATCTCAACACATGTGCTCCTTGCCTTGCTGCACATAGACACATGTGCTCCTTGCCTTACTAGATTCCAATACACTGCTCCTCACTGTTAAGGAAGGCCAAAAAAACTTACCAGTCCAATGCTGCTGCAATGGAGCAACATGCAACCATCCTCCACTGCACCTAGCCGCTGACTCCCAAACCCTTTTGCAATTGCCCCCATGGTCCCTAAACCCAAAAAATATCAAGGACATGGCAAAAATGAGTTCACTATGGCTGCTTTTGTGGCATGGATGCAATTCCATGAATGGCACTCTTAAGTGTCAGAGTCTCAAACAATGAATGTCCTTGTCTCTTCCACTTAGTGTCATAGTCTCGGTCACTCTCGGACTGTTGGCCTGATTCACTCTTTCTCACACACGCTCACTGTGTTTCAATAGTCTCAACACTTGCCATTTAAGTTTTAGCCCTGCCATCTGAATGTCTGATAGTTGATTTTTGTGGAGTGTCCCTAAGGCACTTCTGTACAATCTTTGTGTAATGTTTGGAAATTTGATCAGATGATCGGCACAACTGTAACAAGGGCAAAAGTGAGCTTGTCCAAAGGCCTTTTTTGCATTCCTCTCACTCTAGTCAAGAAATGGTCTCTGAAGAACTTGGGTAAAGATTTTCGAAATATCAAACTAATCATGATCGTTTGATAGTTTTCTGGAAGCATTAGCATTGGGTCACCGATTTTGTAGATGTCAGCCAAGCGATTAACATCTATTGCTCAGGAAACTTCAGGAATGTCAAAGATTGGCCACGGTGGACCGCCTGCTCAGAATATTTGTAAAAAATAAATTTAACTTGTAATTGAGTTGTGGTTCGTTAGAGAAAGTTTTCATAATGATCTCTCAAAAAATGTTCCTGGGCCAATGGTGTGAAATTTCCATGCTGGGCAGACACATTTACAGACTCTTCCTCTACTGGAATGGGTTCCATTGGCATCTGCGGCTGTGTTGCAGGATATCATCCATTTGAAGCTTCCAGCACAAACCCTGCCATGTTGAGATTGTGAAGCTGTACTAGAGTAACCTTGGTATCTTTTGCGGCTGGCCATTTTTTTGGTGGATCACTGAATCCAACAATATCTCATACTTGGTTGTGGAGGACAGCTGTGGAGGACATTGTCACTGCAAAACTAAAATGTTTGGAATGTTTTAATGTCCTTGTATATTGTGAAACTTGTGACACATGGTGCCACTGTATTCCTCAGAAGTTTCACCAAGGCATTCTTCCCGACCAACGAGGCCAAGCTCCTCGACGCCATAAGAGCAAGCAGAAGATCAAAGTGCACTGGGCTTTATGTGTGTACCAAACGGGAAAGTCACATGTTATTGTTACCTGGAACGTAAGGAGTGAAGGAACTTCAGTCATGGAATTCCTCCTTGTCTGATAGAGGTGATGATATTCGTTTAAGGGAAGCAAAATGTGAACAAGATGTAGTAGAGCTCCCCTAGTTTCCATAAAGCGGAATAAAGGGCACCTCCAGAGGCCTTTGAGTATGTATCCATATTAGCAAAAGTTCACTCTGAAAAACCGCACATTGTCATGCTAGATCACAGAGAAAAGGTGAACTAACTCAAACCTTAAAGTGCACTAATTCATTGGAGCTTATGCTCTTTAGGAGACTTCTATCGACCATTTCCATTGCAAGAGAGACTCTCAGCTCCTTAAGTCTTTTAGTGAGGCGGTGCGGTGAATCACGGGACTTGTCCAAAGCAAAAGCCACGCACGCACAAATCCTTGCCTCTGAGCACAGGCATGACAGATACCTCCTCAACTTGCTTGTTGACATGTATGGCAAATGCGGGAGCCTGCAAGATGCAAAAGCTGTCTTCGACTCCATCCACCACCCGAATCTTTTTTCGTGGAATATCATCCTCAGCACATATTCCCGAACTGGTAACTTGCACGGGTCTAAGAGAGCATTCGATGCGATGCCGGAGAGGAATGTGGTGTCCTGGACTGTCCTCCTTGCAGCATATGCCCAAACTGGGCATCTTTTGGAGCAAACCAGAGAGGTTTTTACCAAGCTTCCTCAGTGGAACTTAGTATCTTGCAACACTATGCTAGCAGTTCAAGATACCCCACATGTTGGAAATTTTTACGATTTCATGCCTGAGAAAGATGCAATCTCGTGGACAACTCTGATCAGAGCACATGGAAAGAGAGGTGATTTGCAATCTGCGAGCCAAGTATTGAGTCTAATGCCGCTACATGATGTAGTGTCTGTCACAGTCTTGGCAGTGGAGTATGGACAAATAGGGAATCTGGAAAAGGCTAAAGCATTGCTTGTTGAGATGCCCTTTTACGACGTAGCCTCTTGGAATGCCTTGACCCAAGCATATGCCCAGGCCGGGTATGTCGACCAAGCGAGAAACCTGTTTGACGAGCAGCAAGACAAAGATACCACCTCTTGGGTCTGTATGATTCAAGCCTACGCTCGTTCCAATCTCCTTGACGAAGCCAAGGCAATGTTTGATGCAATCCCAGAGAAGAACGTTGTGGTGTGGTCTGCAATGGTGGCTGCTTTCGGCCATGCCGGGGCGATTGACGATGCAAGAGGCGCTTTTGATCTCATGCCCAGCAGGAACTGTGTCTCCTGGACGTCTCTCCTGGGAGCTCTCTCGATCGAGGGTGATATTCTTGGAGCCGAGAGCGTATTCCAAGAGATGCCACTCAAAGACATAGTTGCATGGAACTCCATGCTCGATGCTTTCGCAAACGCCAGAGATCTCGCTGGAGTGGAAGCCACTCTCTCGAGGATGGCGTACTGGGACATGATATCGCTCAATGCGGCTCTAGCGGTATATGCCCAAGCCGGGCATATTGAGAAAACCAGAGACTTCTTCCAAGCAATGCCCGAGAGAGACATTCTCTCTTTCAGCTCCATGATGCTCGTGGAGTCCGAATGTGGAGATCCCGACAACGCCAGAAACCTTTTTCGATCGGTCACGGGAAAGCGAGACATCGTCCTGTGGACGTGTTTGATCCGGGCTTTTGCTCGAGGTGGCGACATGGATGCTTCCAAGGCAACGTTTGACAGGCTTCCACAGTGGGACTCCATCTCGTGGAACGCGGTGATCACGGGCTATGCCCAAAACGGCTGCCTGGAAGAAGCACGAAACATGTTTGAGGGAATGCTCCAGTTCGACGTTGGATCGTGCAATGCGGTTCTCCAGACATTCGCTGCAAGAGGCCACCTTAACGAGACACGAGAGACTTTTGAGAGGATGATCCACAGGGACGTGACGTCGTGGAACACGGTGCTCTTGTGCTATGCCCAAAATGGGCATCTCAATGAGTCAAAAATGGTCTTTGAGAGAATCCCAAGTTTTAGCACTCTTTCCTGGTCGGCCTTGATTGCTGCATATTCGCAAGCAGGGAATGTGGTAGAAAGCCGCGAGACTTTTGATGCCATGGAAGTTAAGGACGTGATTGCTTGGAACACTATGGTTGCGGCCTATGCCCGGAATGGGAATCTCGGTGAATCGAACTTTATGTTCAAAGAGATGAGCTTGGAAGGCATGATTCCCAACGAGAGCAGCTTTGTTGGGCTGTTCCACGGCTGCAGCCATTCGGGGATGATAGACGAAGCCCGTCACTACTTTGCAGCGATGATTGAAGATCACTTTGTAGCTGCAAGGATTGAGCATTATTACTGTTTGGTGGACATTCTTGGACGAGCCAAGAAGCTGGGAGAGGCGGAAGAGCTTGTGTTAAATATGCCTTTTTTGCCTGATGCAGTGGCATGGACGAGTTTGCTTGCAGCCTGTCGGATCAATGGGGACGTTGTGAGAGCTGAGAGAGTTGCCCGGTTTATATTTGAGCTGGAACCAGAGGTGGCTGCTCCATATAACCTTCTGCACAATGCTTATGCTCATTCTTAAAAAATGTTACTATCTAGTAGGACTCCCTGCTTTATTGCAACAGCTTTAGAGCTCGCTGGTTATATTCAGGGCTGATAGAGTCTAGTTTATTGTGGTGAAGCATAGCCCGAGGGTTGTATGTGCCTTACAGAAACAAAGGAGTTCAACAACACTCCTGTATTGACACGGATCTTTGAACTCCAGAAGTCACAGGCCAAACTTCTTGGTAGAACTATGCGGAGGTGATTCAAGCTTTTATTGTTCTTATGCTAGAAAACATTCGGAGCAGAACATGCGATGGTGCGAGATGGTATCCATGAATGTTTTTCTGCTTTCTTGGTAAAGGTCAGTCTCCTTTCCGATACCAAGGTGGCTTCTCGTAGCCTTTGCATCCAATCCAGTATGGAAGATCCGCATGAGATTGCTGGAGCCTTCAAAAAAGAAAACCGTAAAGTGCACTGAAAGCTCAAAACACTTACTAAATCTCTTTTGAAAAGAGTCCTTGTTTTTCTGCGAGCAAAAACAGAGTGTTTTCTCTGTAGATCGATCGATGTGAGGCTTTTGCATGGAAGGCAGGGCCTGCATTTGTTTTTGGGAAAGAACTTATTAGTTGATAAGTGTTGAGCCTTGAATTACGATACCGGTGGCACTCTTGAGTTCTAGAAACCGCTTGGATGGGTGGTTGCTCGAGGCTCAGGATGAGAGCTCTAACATCTCACTTTGGCTGCTGTGGAGTCCAAGAAGGTACCTGAGAAGCTTGTTATTATATCTAGAGGCTCTGGAGTTTAGATGTCAGTCTGGTGTTTCCCAGTCCCAGGAGGCTCCTTTTCAATGCAACCAAAACCCCAGCTTTGTGTGCGTTGAGTGACGATGTAGAGGATCCAAGCGTGCTCAACAGGATCAGCCAGATCGCGAGTTCCATCATCTGCAACTTGTTACTACTTCACTTCTCTTGAGCTTGTCAGCATACGGTGGCATGGAAAGAGTTGAGAATCCTTTGCTGTTAGAGCAATCGTGTCCAGGGGTGAGGCATCAAAGTTTAGTGACTTGGTTAATAAGTTTGTCGGCTTTGCAAAGCATCTGCCAACGCTGGTGAGCTAGCAACTGGTAGAAAAAAATGTGAAAAAATATTTAACCAAATTACAAGAATTAATAGATATAACTATGCAGCTATGAGCCACAAAAGCACTGTAGAGAAAACATATAACGATAAAGAAGACGTATAAGCGTTGGAGCTGGAAAAACAAACAAAGATTAGTACCATTCATTTGAAATCGCGCTATAAACTCTCACCTTGAAGATATAGCCGCAGTGGGAGGACACGTAGAAGAACTATTCGTAGGATTAGCTCTCGCAGGAGGACTGGGTTCTCGATCATAGTCTAGAGGAATGTTGGCGAACCTTACAAGAGCCACAGGACTCGTTACTTCATGAAGCCCATCACTCCAAGTTATCGACCCAAATGCCTCTTCAAAGAGATCATCCCCAGCCTCGCTCGTTGCCTCCATCGTGACTTGGAACGTTTTCGTCTCCCCCTTGCGATCGAAGCGTAGAACCTGGGGCTCTACCTGGATGCTATAACCCGGGGGGCTGATCACGGTCACGCGGTACACTGATTCCTCCTCCTCCACATTGGTAACGTTCCTGGTGATGGTAGTTTTGTTCGCGAGATCAAGCCGAGCTATGGAGGGATAGTTGACGTTGAGCGGCACATCACTGTAGTTTCCACAGCCGGGAGTGCCGTAAAGCTCAAACTCGTCGCACCGGATTCGCACGTATTCCTCTGGGAGGAGATCGTAAACCAGGCCGGGATGAAGTGCGGCGTTTGGATTGACATGGCCGCCTCCAAAGTCGAAGGGGTTTCCAACCATCCCATCCTTGTAACCTGTAAAATAGTTGAAAGTTGAGAAAAGCTGTAGAGATTGTTGTTACTATCACCTGTCGTGACTATAGCTGATAGGATCGCTGCTGGACTCCAGTCCGGGTGGTGCGATTTGAGCAACGCAACAATGCCTGCAATGTGAGGACAGGCCATAGAGGTTCCTGAAAAAATTACGTGACTGGTGCGACGTGGATCGAGCTTATCGCCTGGTTCAACTGGGAGAACTGGAGAATAGGCTGCCAAGATATCGACACCGGGTGCCACGATATCAGGCTGTGAAATACGAAAGGATTTTCAGTATAGAGACGTTTGCATCGAGTTTGAGCTATACCTTGACGACGTTCGGGTCGGCACCGGGACCCCGGCCCGAGAACGTAGCCACGACTGGAACCTTTGACGTGGCCAGAGTTGTTTCAACTGGACTTATATTCACAACCGGATTGCTGGAAAGAGAGATTGTTGGATGTGAGAAAGGAGAGAAGCCTTTCTGTTACCTCGTAGATGAAATATAAGAGAGGACTCTCTGTGCATCAGTTGCAGAAATGGAAGAACAAGGTAGGACGCAGAGGTGACCATCCACTGTCGCCTTTTCGTCTTGGTAGAAATATATAACACCAGCTCCTCCGGCATGTAAAACTGCTTCGCTTGCCGCAGTGGGATCCGGAGTATATCTATACGTATTCACAAACCACCACATTGTTCCTCACTTTGACGGGATCTAGAGCCCCTAAACGACAAATACTCGATCCAGCGGCGTCTCCAGATACAAGAGGCAAGAAGTCCTTGGTGCCATTGAGCGTCAAGCTTAACCCCTGAAAGTAGAGACAGTTATGAGGTTGTTTGAGCTTTGAGCAGAAAGTTGGCTTACTTTAAAGCTCACTCCATTCCCCAGAGAGACATTGTTCTTGAACGTCCGGTCATCGGCGCTAGCACCAACAGTGATCATCCATGGAGGTGAGTTGGAAACTGAGAAAGTGTCTGGACCGTCGTTTCCAGCGGCTGTTACCACCACAACACCCTTCTCAACGGCACCCAGCGCCGCAATGAAAGACCCGACGTACTTGAAAGAAAGCACGGCGCGGCCTCCCAAAGACATGGAGATAATGTCCACTCCATCCTCGACCGCAGCGTCGATACCAGCAGTTACATCCGCGTCGTCACCGCTGCCGCCCCAAAGCACTTTGTACATGGCGAGCCTGGCTTTTGGAGCTCCCCCTACTGCAGTTCCATTTGCCAGACCAAAGAGGCTGGCGTTTGGAACGTATCTTCCAGCGGCAATGGAGGACGTGTGTGTTCCATGACCCACGTCATCTCTGGCTGAAATGTAAAGTCGTATTTGAGGTGCGAGTTGAGAAACATTTGCCGCGCCCTTCGAATGTAGATAACTTTGGTAGAAATATCTTGCTCCAATCAGTTTCCTGAACACAAGCACATTAGACGCGGTGAAAAGAAAAGGAAAAAGAAAATCGAAGTTACCTGTTGCAATGGGAAGAATTGAATGCTTCTCCCTCTTGGCAAATTCCTTTCCACCTCTTGGGAACTGCGCTCATCCCGTCGTCATGGAAGTTCTGTACTTCCGGCCATATACCAGTGTCCACAAGTCCGATGATAACATCCTCTCCTTGTTTGGTTTCACTCCGCAGCTGGGGGCGTTTTGTACCAAATAGAGAGTCTTGTGAGTTTCCCATGCTCATGTAGTCCCAGGACCTTGTTGTGTAAGTTTCCACGCGCCTGCTAGGAAAAACCGATGGTACATCGTGGTGTTCTGCTCAAACCAAAAGCCTTATAGTAAGAAGGAAATATAAAATATAACAGGCAAGAGTTTGCAAGAGTTTACGTACGTGACATTCTAGCAGCTTGTTCCTTGGTGAAACGTGCAGCAAATCCATTTAAAGCATGTCTGTAGCTGTAAACCATGGATTCTCTTGCAATATCATGGCTGCAGGAAGTAAATCAGAGTTCAACATATGTCGCTATAAAAATAGTTTTACCTTGCCAATATTCCGTGATGGTATTCGGTAATAGCATCTGGATGAAGATTTTGATCGGTGTTTTGCAAATGAACGATATATATCGAGCTCTCCTGAAGTCAATCTTACATGAGATTCGAAGAAATATGAACACGAAGAAATATAAACACTTACCGGACTTTCGGTGGCAGCAACACAAGTGGCTATAAGCAACAAAAGCAACAATGTATAAGCCATAATAATAAAAAAATCTCACTATGGTATCACATTAAATAGAAACTCCCACAAACCATATTAGGAAGCATTTAAATTGGACTGATATAAATACAAACAGGGTTAAGAAACAAAGTTCTCACAGTTCACTGTTCATGCGACTGGATGCTTTACCACTCCAGCTCCAACATCCAACGTGAAGTTGGCACCCAGAAATTGTCTACTGTTGAAAAAGGGCTGCAGATCGAGTATATTGTACTCACGAGCCTGTAAAGATACATGAAACATGAGTAACAATTCCAAATGAAGAAGCTATGGCTTGCCTTCGCTTCAAGATCTGTGATTTTGACGTGAACTACTGAAAGTCGAGGGCCAGGCATAGTCATCAATTCATCAAAACGAAGAGCATCCTTGACCAAACCACGCAAAAGGTGAAGAAGCAGTTCGTTGAAGTCCCTCTTGTAAGTCATATATTTTTTAAAGCTCTGAAAAAAAAATTTATCCTTTAGAACTCGCTTGGAAATATAGTTTAAAAAATAGACAATAAAAAAAGGGACTTACCTTCTGCAGAGCTTTTTGGACACCGTATTTCTGTGTTGCAATGAAAGAATCAAGCAGCACCCGAATTGCCATATCCACATCATCTTCAAGGACATATTGACGCAAATGCATACGAGCATGCGCTTCCGCGATTCTGATCATAGACTCGATATGCCGCACTGCGATTGGTACTCCTTGCCCAAACTACAAGCCAGATCTATGAGCTTCATCAAAACTGAAAACTAGTATACCATGGACTCCCGACGTAGATCGGCATAGACAAGAGCAACCTTGTCCAAATCAGCGTCGTGCAGCTTTGGGAAAACATAAAGCTTTGCATACGTGATGTACTTTCTTAACATATCTTGAGATAATATCTGACACACAAAAGCTTATATAAACGGGAGATGTTCAACTGAATACCAACCTCTGGGTCCGTATTCGCAGCAGTTTCAGGAGTTTGATCCTTCGCAATGTTTGGATGAGACTTGAAATGACTGTCAACGACAAATCTTGCCAGCATTTCATCTATGACAGGATCGACAGTGTCCTAGAAGATCACAATTAGATCCTAAAGTATGTAAAATAGCTAATGCAGAGGTTACCTTGACAACAAGGAGAATGTCGAACCTAGAAAGTATAGGATCGGTTAGCTCAACATTCAAAGCGAAAGTCTTTCCAGAATCGTATCTGTCACGAGGAGGTTCATCAAGCGTTAAAATCACATCAAACATTGTGCTTACCGGCCGCCTACAGGGTTTGCGGCAGCGATCACAGAGCAACGAGCTTGCAATGATGTTACTATACCAGCTTTTGAGATGCTGATACTTTGCTGCTCCATGGCTTCATGTATACTTACCCTGAAAAAATACTCCCGAGTAAGACATTGTAAGCCCTGCGTTTAAAATACCTGTCTTGGTCATTCATTTTGTCAAACTCATCAATGAGGCAGATTCCACGATCGGCCAAGACCAAGGCGCCGCCTTCTAATGTCCACTCGCGAGTTACAGGGTCCTTATGGACAGCTGCTGTTAATCCAACAGCTGAGGCGCCTTTTCCTGTGGTATATACCGCTCGTTGTGCAGTTTTCTCGACGTATCTGCACGGCTCATGCATAAAATCACTAAACAAAATCAACAGTACTTACTTGAGAAACTGAGATTTTGCTGTTCCAGGATCGCCAAGCAAGAGAATATTAATGTCCCCCCTCAAGCGATGTTTGCCTTGTACGTTTTTCTCCTGCCCCCCAAACATGGCAAGAGCTATAGCAGTCTTTATGTTCTCATGACCGTAAATCGATGGAGCAATCGATTTGATAATCTGAAAGCATAGATCATGTAAACAACAGAAGACAATAGATGATCTTACCCGTTCTCCTATTCGTGGATCTTTGGCCAGCTTTTCAATCTCTAGTTTATCCTCTTCAGTCAACTTGTATGCAGAGAAAAGATCTTGTTTCTTGCTGACGTGATTGGCCTCGACAACAGTAGCGAACACAGGAAAACCATTTTTGGTGTTCAGCGCCAAGTCGAAATTATTGGTGTAGATGCCCGTAATTTCCTGTTCGAGAGAGTCACGGTAAGCATAACAGCAAAAAGGCAGACTCTTACAATCTCTTCTCCTGGCCGTGCACAATCGATAAGATCGTCAAGCAGTATGACTTCCTTATAGCGAGGAAGCCTGCCTGCAGGAACAATTCCAGGGCTTTCTTGTAATGTTAGTTTTTGATAGTTCCGGTAAATTGTCTGCACATCTCAGAGATTAAAGTAAGTACATAAAATATGAAATCGAGTACCTCTTCCACATTCACGGAAAATGGACCTCGTGATTGGCATTCCGGACAAGATCCAACCTTGATCTCTTTGGATGTATTTTGGAAAAAGGGCCCGAGTGTTGCACCGCATTTGTTGCAATCATACTTCACTTGCATGAGCTGAGGAAAAACTCCAGACCGCCGGGTCACAACTCCGCCAATTCTAATCAGGCAATTTAAGTGTGTTTTCCTGCAAGTACGAGCAAAATATAAGAACTTGAAAATGCCGAAGCAGAAAACATGCCTTATATCTCTTATCTGGTCAAAGACTGGAAGATTAGTCACCCGTACGTGTACTCTTTCGTGAATTTTTCCATAGTTCGGGTACAGCTTCAAAACGACGGTTTGCAAGACTTCCTCCATCACTTCGAGAATGGATTCGGGAGCATCGGCTAGCCATATAGCAAGATTTGTGTAGGCATGCAAATATTCCGTGTAGTCTATTTCCAAGCTGCACTTATTTGCTGCGTAGACAATCAGAATGTCAGAAACCGTTTACGTCAGACTCAATCTCACCTGAAACCATATCGTTGATCAATCGCACATACTCAGGCTGCCCTCCTTGATTCTTGGGGTTCACGTATGTCAAAAGAAACTGCCGGAATTTTCTTGCAATGAACCTTCTGACGTCGTCTCTGGACACCCACGTCCGCAAATTTCCGACAATGTTATACATATCCGCTCCATCGTCTTCGTCTTCCTCCTGCTTAGTTTCGCTTTAGCTAAGCGTGAAGCAACTTAAAAAAGCATACCTCCGTTTCATCGTCCGGCATTTGATTTCCCGGTTCGTCGACTCTAGCCCGCTGCCGTGGTCTGGAGTCCTCGGATTCATCTGGAAAGAAAGCACAGCATGAGTTTCTTTTCGCTCCAAGAACTCTACATTTTACCGTGTTCATCGAGAAACGCTGGTAGCTTCCTGTTTCTAGTCCGCCTATTCACAGGACTGTTAAAACTCCCAACTTCGTCTCGATCATCTAGCGCCGCTTCAGCAGCACGGCGGTCGGCCATTATCTGATCAAACGACCTCTCATCAAGCGGCTCATCGTCTAAATCAGCGGAATCATATCGATCCATTTCTTCGTTTGGCTGATAGTCCCTGCAAGCGTCAACAAGCGTGTCACTCAAACAGTATCGAGATAGAAAACCCACTCTACCTTTGCATGAAATCCTCTGTGTAGAGATCCTCTCCGACCTCTTCTTCCTCCTCGTCGTTGCCCATGTCCACCACATGAGGGTCAACCTCCGCCTCCGACATGGAATTCTCCCCGCCTCTCGGCAAGCGATCCTCCGTCGATGGAGGCGAGAGCGCATTCTCGCCGCTGCCATTCTGCAAGCTAGGGTTCTTGAGCAACGCGATCACACAATCCTGATCTACATTTTTTCGATCTACATCCTTCACAAAGATTACCTACCGGATTGAGCGACATCGCAGAACACCACGAAATCCGCCCGCCTCGCGCGACCTAGACGGGAGCAAGAGAAGAAATGGCGGGAAACAAAACCCTGATGCTCACACTGACGGCTCAGATTATCGTCAAAAACGTTCAAGTATATTTTAGTTAATGGAATTTCCTTTAACAAGGAATTTTAAGCTTGTTTAACTATGTTTAAATTTTAACTGGGAGTTTAAATCCCTTACATTAAATACAACATTCTTGATATTTTATATGAATTTTGTCTTATCACCATCTTGTCTTATTTTATTTTCTCTATGTAAAAGGTTCTATATTTTATGTTCAAAATTGGATTTAAAAACTACTATGTAGTCAAAATTACACAAATAATTTATGGTTATGGTTTTAATTTTTAGTTTACTATTTTTATTAATTGTATGTTCTAATTGTATAACTAAGTATTATGATCATCCACAAGCTATTTCTATTAAATATAGGCAAACAACTATTTTACCTTTAATATTTGATCTTATAGAAAATGTTGATAAAAAGGAAGATTTATTAGTTGGATTTTCACTATCACATGTAAAATTTGAGAAAGATAAAACTTTAATTGTGACTATAAGTGCTTTAGATATACAAACTCAATATAAAGATAGTATAATAGCTTGCACTATAATTGTTAATTTATCAAAGCGTTTCAAAGGAGATTATTTACAAAATCAATTTTATTATATTTTTAAAAATTATGTTATAAATGATTTAGTTACATATGGTTTAGCAGAATATATATCTGAGAGATATTTAATATCTTATATAGTAGATAATGATGAATTATATACCACTAATAAAACTATTAATTCACTCACTATGAATTTTAGAGATTGTAATATTTATATAGTTTGCATAAGAAGTGGACCAATTTTCTCAAGTTTTTCGCATATAAAAAACGGAAATTTTCTTCAGTCTCCAAATCACCAATATATTTTGTATATGCAATATGATTGTAATTTAGTGCTATATAAAGGGTTATATGTAATTTGGGATACAAAAACCAATAACATGGGTAATGGATGTACTCTTTATTTAAAAAAAGATGGTAACCTTGCAATTTATGATTTAAACAACAAACTTATTTGGTCAAAATACTTTTCTTCACAGAATGAATGGGTTACATATGCACTTTGTGTTGAAAATGCAGGATATTTTGTTGTTTCTGATACTATCTTGCAAACTTGTATATGGAAATCAAATTAACAAATTTTTTAAATTTCTTAGAATTTGAGTGTAATAACAATCTACCGTTTTTTTAATGAAAACAATACAATCAAAAAAAGTTGGTGAAAGATCTCACAAAGGGCAAGCAAAGGAGTTCACTTAACATCATGCAAAGCATG